TAAAAACCAGAGGGAACTGATAGGAGTTTCTACTGGTCAGAATTTTAACAAAAGACGTAAAGTATGGAACAGTCCCACAGTAATGAGGTTTCCTAAGTGATTTGTTTGGTACAGACTTCTGGAGGGGATGACCAAGGGGTGGGAGCCTCTTGACCACCTTCTGACCTGTGTCGTTTAACTTGTAGTTCTTTGGGGAGTTTTTGGTATTGGGAATCGAACTCAGGGCTCTACGCTTGCCAGACAGGTACTGTGCCCCTGAGCTATATATTCCCTGCTCCTTAACTAGTAGTTTTAAGTAAGCACTGACTTGTAAGTGACCTTGCTTGCTTTTCTCCCCACCCTCTTCCTTTTTTCTTCTCTGTCTCTGTCTCTATGTAAATTGAACTTGGCATTGTTTATGCTAGGCATCACTGAGCTCCATGTCCACGCCTTTTTATTTTGAGAGTTTTGCTAAATTGCCTGGGCTGGATTTGAACATCAATCCTTCTGCCTCCATCTTTGGAGTAGCTGAGGTTATAGGTGTGGGACACCATACCCAGCAGTCACTTGTATTTTGACATGAACTAGCTTGCACTTGACCTGTTTATAGGCAAATCAAGTTCCACTCTGTATCTGAACTTTAATTTGGACTTGGAATGTATAAGTAATATAAATGGAAATTACAACTTTAATTTGGACTTGGAATGTATAAGTAATATAAATGGAAATTCTTTGCAATTCTATTACTTGAGTCAATAAACAGGTCACATATTTCATGGCTAAGTAGTACCAGTCATTGACTAGATTTATATGGATTGGTCAGAAGAGTACTCTGTGTATAGTTATTTCCTATATAGACACCAGTGGCCTCTGTAGTATGGATTTAAGAAAAGACCCTAGTGGGGGTAGTCACAGAGTTCTAAGCACCTGGATTTGCCCAAAATGACAGACCTTTAATTCCTCCCTGCCTTAACTTTTCCTGTATATGCGTATGTAGGACTTTTAACTATCTTTTAGGTGATTCTGGTATGGAGTTATAATTCTAATGAGCATCCATAGGCTAAGTACATCATAACTTTCTGTTGACAATTGTGGTGAAATGGTAGATGTTCATATTATCAAACCTGATGTGTCTCCGAAACATACTAGAAATATCTCTTTGTTGGTGGACAAATACCGCATGTAAAAGTATCCCAGTTATCAAACCAACTATTTACTTTACTTTCCCCTAGTTTATGTTTTTGTTCAGCTCTCCAGTCTGCTATATTAAACAGAATGATTATGTTCATCACTTGGTGCACATTGTTTGTTATTCAGAAATGTCTTTTTTTTAGTCATATCTGTTCTTTATGTTATCCTTGCTGTTCAGCGTGTAGCTGTTGTTTCTGTAATGCTTTTAGGGTTTAGGACATGTTCAAGCCACATTTGAGTATTGAATGCTAGAATGTGGTCTGTGTAACATAATTGAAAGCAGCTGACAAGATAAATCCCTACAGAAGCACAGAGATGCTTTCTCTTGAAAACAGAAATGTGATAAGGGGAGGAAGCAAACCACTCACATTGGACTGTGCTCTTGAAATATGTGATTGGTAGGACTTAGAGCATTTACTTCTTTGTTTCCATTTAAATCAAATGTATCTTTAATTTTTTTAAACACAGATTTTTCATTCAACTTTTCCTTCATTTGTTATGAGCTAAAATTTGTTTGTTTGTTTTATCCCCCAGAGCCAGGCCAAGTCTATTGCAGAACAAAAGAGATTTCCATTTGCCACTGATAATGACAGCACAAATGAAGAGTTAGGTAAGACCTGAATCTGGGAATGTTTCTGGAATTTATGATTAGATGCAAAATAGGAAGGCAGGCAAAAGAGAGGGAGATCTCAGAGAGAGGGCTTGTCACTCTTGGCTAAGATTGCATGGGATATTCAGCTATACTGAAGTTCTGTGGATTACATCATTTTAAGAATGTAGGGACTATTCCAGTCCTGTGTTTCCATGGAAATTAATAAGTATGGTAATGAGCTCTTAAGCTGTTTCCATTCCTTAGAAGGTTACTTGTATGCTCTCAGCAAATGTGCATAGTAAAGAACAGAAAGCTGGATTGAATCTCAGAGCAGCACATCTCCAGTCTTGTCTTCTGTGACAGACAGAATAGCCAGGTTTATGTTATTCCTGTCCCTGGGTTGTGATTCTTGGATCTAAGCTCATGGTACAGGAAAATCAAATTCACTCAAGTCTGTAAATGAGCATCAGGGTCTGGTTTGTCCATGATGTGTGAAGTAGGCTATGCCCACTCAGATATACCCTGGATGTACCCTCCATCACCAGTGGGCTTATACTCAAGGGAGTGGAGCAGAAGAAATCCAAGGCAGGCAGTGCCACATGGGCCAGGCTATACCAAGTGCTGGTGGGAACTTTTCATCACTTAATTTAAGCATAATTCTTTATCTTTACCGTGGGTGTCCCTGTTTTAGGTTCAGACTGAACTGTCTTGTATTTCCTTTGCAGACAACTGAGAGCTATTTTGAAAGTGCTAATCACTTCTTGGTGACATTCGTTTAGGAAATTTTGAGAATTAGTTTCCCTTTAGAGCTTCAGACTTGGTCTTTTCTGAAATCCTTGGATTCTGTTCAGTCTGTATGCATTTATTAATAACTATCAAGAGCCTGGTATGTGACATGAGTATTCCAGTACACCCTAGGGGAGCATAGGGCCTTAGCTGGTGTAGGGCCTTTTCTGCAATTTTTCTTGAAAGACATCTGATTTTTTTTTTTTTTTTTTGTGAAATTTGGCCAGGCTATAGAGATTTGGATTATGTTCTTAAATCACAGAATTTTTCCCCTAAAATTAAGAAAATGTTCCACAGTGTTGTAGTTAGGGGTTGTGCAGAGAACAGTTAGAATCAGGATATGGAGTTTATAATATTATTTGTATAATGGTAACTGGGAGTTAACACAGGAAAATGCAGGAAATCTATCCACAACACCAAAGACATACAATATTTAGTCAAGGACCTAAATCCCACAGCAATGTCCCACATGAGTCCAGATAAAAACCCAGAGCTCATGACAGTGCCTCCCACGAGTCCAACTGGAGGTCCAGAGCCCACAAGAAGGACTCACGCCAGTCTCTTTTACGGATCCATGCTGGAAAGGCCCAAAGATCAGCAGTAGAAGCCAGAAAGTCTATGCTAGCAGGGTGAAGGAGCTGTGCTGGTGGGATGAGGGTTCTACGCTGGAGCCGAGAAGTCACACTCACAACAAAGACCAGGGCTGTCCTGAAAGGCACCACAGCCATCCTCAGCGACACAGAGGCCCTGAGCTCCTCCGACGACAAGCACAGTCAGGTACATGCCAGGAAGCAGCGTGACAAGTTGATTCTGGAGACCAAGTGGCACATGTCTTCCCCTCCAGAGCCAGGAAGCAATGCTTGATGTGAGGACCAAAGCTTCTCCATGAGAACCAACAGCTCAAACAACAACTCGTAGGAGAACCTACAATGCCTCCACACAACAATGCATTAACACCTCAACCCTCAACACCTCCCTTCTTCTCCACCTATTTATCCTGGCAACTTTCCTCAGGTGGAGCATCTTCACTCAGTGCCATGCTGATGTAATCCATCTGGTGTTAAGTTGACCACCAGTTCTTAATCCATAACACACAGGCTTTTAAAGCAAGACCCTCAGAGTTAGGAGCAGGGACAGGTCCTCATGATCATATGACTGGCTGGAATCTAAGCCTAGGTTTCAAACACCAGTTCGACCTTAATTTATCTTTTCAAAAAAACCAAGGTAAAAATAGCCTATTTATTTTAAAGGGTGCCTTCAGAAGCTTTTTGTTATCATAATGCTAAAGCTTTTCAAATTTTATTTTTCTTAGGTTGCATATAAAGATATTCCAAAGCACTTTGAGCATTTAGTGTTTCTGCCGTGTTTAATATTTTTCTGCTTTTAACTGTTAGGAAATATAAGCTCTAAAGGGCAGTAAATGTAGTTGCCCATGTATTTGAATACCTACTAGGTCATGGATTGAGAGGATATTATAATAAAGCTATTTTGTTTTCACAAAATCATGATCAAACTAGCCATTATGTTGAATGAAGAATAAAATGTTTTTTAGAAATTTAGTAGTATTGAAGAATTAGGGCAAATGTTATGGAAGTACAGTCCAGAATATTCCAGGTTATTAGCTATTTGATGAATGAGAGAGTTTAACACATTCATGACAGGGCCACATATGCATGACTGTCCCATCGGGCAGCTTGTACCACCCAGTGGGTCTGTCCCATGCTACCCAATGGGACAGACATACATACATGTTCCACCTGTAGTTCAAGCTGGTGGGAACAAGTTAATCAGAATGTTGCCCTGATTCAAGAGATCGTCATGGCTCCCCTTTCACCATAGCAGTTTTCAAAACAATTAGGTAAAAATAACTATCATCTTTACTGTAAGTCTTGAATAGTGTTTTAACTGTATTTTGAATAGAAAAATAGGAAAAAGACTGTCATTGTATCACATTGTGAGTTATCCACAGTTAAGCATCACATTAATTCGAACATGCTTTTGTTCTTGCTACATAATTGGCAGTAAACCCAGCATTCCCAGCCTTGAGATTTGTGGTGCCGACTGGGTATTTTTCCTAGCACTCGCTTAATCACCGCATCGGGTGGTATGCCCAGGACTCAGCACCTTTCCTGCTGTTTTCATATGTGGACAGGAGACGTCACAAAGGTTATGTTGGATGTGAAAGTGAGTGATGGGCTCAGCAAAAAGTGAGTCCTTCTCATAGATGGCTTGTTTAATTGATAACTTTGATAATTAAATCTTGATAGCACTGGGAGACCCGTTAGCAAGTCACAGGTGGTGAAGTGGGCAACTCAGTGCTGTGGTGTTGACTTCCTGATTCTGCCTGACTACTTCCAGTCCTTGGATTGAGATTTAGCAAAGAATTTAGTTCCTGGTTCTAGTCTGAGCCTCTTTATTCTTTGCTTTAATATTTTTGTATTTTGTTTCACAGCTATTGCTTATGTGTTGATTGGCAGTGGTCTGTATGATGAAGCAATAAAGCATTTTTCAACAATGCTTCAGGTAATTTTTTTCTTGATTAAGAATTATAATTTCAAGTTTATAATTGCAACCGAATGTGTACTGATGCTTGGCCGATGTGCATCATGATCCTGTATGTTTAGAATCACACAGGAAAGTAGAGGAATCAGTGTCAGCTGAGCACTTCCCTGGTGCCAGGCCCGGCCCTGATGGTGTTCTACATCTTCAGCTATCAGGTAGCAGGAATGGCATTCAAATACAAGGTGGTAAAGATGGAGCTTCACCTCCCTTTTCTCTACCATGGCACCGCCCATGAGATGTGGACATTGGAATTGAAATTCTGTCTCCTTGTGAAGAATGTCTGGAGGACTGGAGGATTTTTTTTTTTCTTTTTGAGACAGCATCTCTCTATATAGTCTCTATATATAGTATATATACTGGCCTTGAACTTGTGGCAGTCCTCCTGCCTCAGCCTTCCAGGTGTTCAGATTATAGGTGTGTGGCACCATAGCTAGTGTCTGCAGGATGGACACCAAATTTCTACTCATGAATTTGTTTCTCACCTTGATGTGTGATTGTGAAACCTCAGTGGAAGGATGGCAGTGCAGGAGAGGCTAGTTAAGGAAAAGTGTGTGTGTGTGTGCCCATGTGAGCTGCAGAGGAGGCCCGCAGCAGCAGTCATGGTGGCCTTGTGTCTCACATCAGAGTCTACTGAATTTGCTATGGGTACTTAACCACTTGTTGATGGTGGTGTATCTACCCTGTGCCCACAACAAGGTAGACACAGATCTTTAGAGATACTCAAGTCGAATCTATGCTTTGGCTTGCTACCAAATTATTTAGCCTCCATGGTTATGGAGACAGTAATAACTATCTAAAAAAAAACTTCAGGGATTTAAATATTTTGTAAAGTACTCAATTCTCAGAGCCTGGCTCATAATAAGACTCGGTAAGTTTTGTCATCTCAGAGTACATTCTAGTAAACAAGCCATTGTTGATCTAGTAAGAGCCAACAGATATCTTATAACTCAGAAATTGGGCTTAGTTTTAAAATATTAATTTTGAGGACTGAAGATTTAGTTTAGCAGCACAGGCACCTGCCTGGCAAGCGTGAGGTCGTGAGTTCAATCCCCAGTACCAAAAAAAAAAGAACTCGTCAAAAAATTAATTTTGAGGGTTTTAGTTTTGCTTTTGTTTTCTTTTTGAAAAACAAGATTATAAGCCAGGCATGGTGATATACACCTGTAATCTCAGCACTTTTGGAAGCTAAGGGAGAAAGATTGAAAGTTTGAGTGTGGCCTGGGCAACTTAGTAAGACCCCATTAAAATAAAGGGCTGGGTATGTAGCTCAGTCTGAGGGCCTTGGATTCAAGCTCTAGTACCATCAAAAGAGAGAGCGAGAAAGGTTTATGTTGATAATTCTATATTATTTTTGGTTATTACTCTTTGAGGTCCTTTAGATGAAGCAGCTGTGTTTGAAGGATCATGTGATGTAATATTCTTGAGTTTGAAATACAGATGTTCCTCGTTTAACGACCTATCTGCTTGACTATTCAGACCTATGAACTGCCACTTGGATTTGTGACTCATCTTTTTTTTTTGTATGGTTCTGTACATCTTGTTTTTAGAACTTATTTATAGCCTCAATGTACAGTACATCTTATTTATACAGTATTTTAATTTTTGCTGATTGTACTGTACAGTACCATACTTCTATATGCTGTTATACATTATAATATTGCTTGTAAGAATTATACAAATAAAAGCAAAGTTACCAAGTTGGAGTTCCGTTTGACCATTTCTTTGTAATGAATATTATAATGTACCTACTGTATACAGTTCCTCATTTAGCGACCAATTCAGTTAGCAACCTAGTCACAGGACAGTAACTTGGTTGTTAAATGAGGAGTGTCTTTACAAAGTAGATTACAAATAGATTTTAAAATTGTATTTGTGTTCAGTGTTGCAATATTATAAAAGGTAAGTAAGACTTTACACAGTGAGTCCATGACCTGGTTTGAAGGGAGGCTTAGATACATTTGTAGGAGTGGATTTGGTTAATTTAGGGTAACCGACAGCTTGCAGGCATGCTGCCATCTCACTTAACTTTTCAAAAATGTTGTGCTTGATAACAATGTTAAGGAGAAAAATTAAATTAAAAAAGTCCTAATTCTGCCACTGTAACATTTAAATTTTTATTACTTTCTCAGAGTATGCATTTTTTTGTAAAATAAGTATACATACTATATTTTTAATTTTTCATAATTTTGTACTATGAGTGCCCTTGACCATTTCTGTATCTTATGTCTCTGTATTGCCCATTTGTAGCTGCAGAACATGTTGCTCTTGACATTTTATTTAGAAAGTTGATGAGAGCAAAGAAAAGATAGTAACATCTTTAAATTCCATATGGCATTTTATTAGTCTATGATATGGTGGACTGTTTTCACCTGGGGAGGTTTTTCCTGGAAATGTGTAGAGTGTAAGGTCAGGCTGCTTTGCTGGTGATCAGGGACACTGAGGGGAAGGAGCGGGGAAGTGGACAGTTCAAGTGCAGGAGGGAAGACAGGGAGGCTGTGTGTCGCAGGATGAGAACTGGCTCTTTCCTGCTGCTTTTCTTGATAATGCTCTGGGTACTTTTCAGCTGTGTCCAGACAATGGTAGAGTGGAAAATCATGTTTGTGTGGCATATAAAGTAGGCTGAACCAGAATGAGATATCTATATAGAGCTTGGTAAAACTTTGTAATGTTTTCTTTTTCTTTTGGGGAGTTTTGTTCATTTTGATTTTGGGACGGGGTCCTGCTATGCAATCCAGGTTGACCTTGAACTCATTATGGAGTTTAGGTTAGATTCAAACTCATGACAGTGCTTCTGCCTCAGCCTCCCGAGTGCTGGGATTACAGACATGTAATACCACACCTGGCCATCTTTCCTTTATATTATATGATTGTGGTAAGAAGTAGGAAACACCAGGATTCAATGATAGATGCTATTCTTTTAAAAAACTTTATAAGAAACTCAGTCCCCTTTTCTAGACAAAACTTCTTTTAGGTTTTATGTTTGAAACTGATATAGTCCTTCTTTAAGGGTTCCAGTTGATTTCTTCAGTTTTCCAATATCCACTGTCTACTATGGGCTGTAATTTGCATAAATCTCACTCAAGAGATCATTCTTTAATTTCTCTACTCTGCTGTTCTCTTTCTATTTAAAGGACCCCTAAAACCCAGAACTTCATACATGGTAGGCAAGTGCTGTATCACTGAGCCACATCCTCAGCCCTTTTTATTTTCCATTCATTACAAGGATCTGTATTTTAATTCTATTTACTTTCTCTCCCCCACCAGCTCTGTTGTTTTTATTCTTCAATCTATAACTGAACTGAATATCACCAGATAATTACTGTTGTCATTATTAATGCTAATTTATTGTCACTTGTTCCTTTGGGAACTTCCAGATATGTAAAAACTGTTTTTAAGGTAATGCCTTTAACAAATCTGCAAAACAAATATCTACCCACACACATATTTTTGTTTTCTTAAGTTTATTAGTACTTACCAAACCTTCTTTTATTTTTTTAGCCAGCCATGAGCTATGGCATGAAGCAGCAGAAATCTATGGCTCCAGTCACCGACTGCTGACAAAAGGGACTACAGGAGCCTGGATTTTATTAGAATCTCTTTTGATCAGATTATATGTGAAATTTTATCTAATCTACATATGAGGGCTACATATGAGGTTTACATGTGAGGGCTGCTTAAATTCCAGAGTGGCCTTGTCAGGTGATAACCTACCTGCCTTTTGCTTCAGTTGCACTATTAGGGTACAAAACTCTGAGGTATTTCCATGACCCTTGCTGTCACATAATACTCATTTGACTGGTTACTCCCATGATTTTTGTGTGCTTCTATAATGGAAAAAAATGTTCCTAGAGCACCCATCTGAGTGCATCACCAGGTCCCATGATGTCAGTCTTCAGTAAAAACTCCCAATCAAAAATCTGGTGAGTTGGACCCACACCAGTGCTAGAAGTCACTTCCCTGCGTGACAGTACATCAGCAGTAGAGGGTGTAGTAGTAGTGTAGTAGTAGTTGTGTTAGTAGTTGTAGTAGTAGTAATGTATGTTTGTAATGCATAATGGTTAAATTCATCTTAGGGAATTGTTTCGTGTACATATCTAGCAGCACTGTTCTTGAAAGTAGAACCTTCTCAGATTCTGAACTCCTTCAGTTCCTTGCAGAACTAATAATAGAAGTAATTAAGCAGTTTTAGGCAGCATATGACCTTTGATCAGGTGACCTTGAGCTTGCCTGATTCTGGTGGAACTGAATTCATAGGGGAACTTTGCTTATTTCACATCAGCATATAAAATTGATTTTTTTTTTTTTTTTTTGGCTTTTTGAAACAGAGTCTCATTATGCAGTGCAGGCTGGCTGTGAGCTCATTTTATAGCCCAGACTGGTCTCAAACTTGCAACTATCCTCCTGCCTCAGCCTCTCGTGCTGGGATTACAGGCATGTGCCACCATTTGTGATCCAGCATATAAAACTGAAAACATGGCTCTGTGTAATTTTTAGTAAATGTTTGTCTGCCAGTGAGGCAGAACTCAGTCCTCACTGCAGTGTTCATATGCTGGTTTTTTTGGCTTGTCTTTGGGCACCGTGACTGTTCAGTTCTTGTTAAAACACCAGCCTTCTGATAGAAAAATACGTGTCTGTAAGATTAAAAGTAATTTCTGTATAAAAGTAATAGTGTGAGAATAATGTATTAAACTCTTTGAGAATTGCAACACCTCCATCTAGGTGGCTCTCCCTTGTGATTTTGCAGATACAGAAAGTAAACCTATCCAAAAAAGTAATAAGAACCGTGGGAGCAATGAAACCCAAAATGTGTAATAGTCATGGTACAAAAGAGAGGAAAAGAAAGTGCTCCAAACTATATAACTGCATGTATATTTAAGTGTATAAGATAGAAAATGATATCACAGAGTTTTATTGGATCAATGAACAGAACTGTTTGCAGTATCATTGATGGAATGTCCACTTTACAAGCTTTAATTTTGTGACTTGAACAATTATTTCTAAGATGACAATATGTAATCCATTAACTAGTGATTTCCTACTGTTCATTTTTTTTCTGTAAATCTGTATAACTTGTACCCTTTCCCTGCTTTTTTTTTCTTTTCTCCTTAAATAAAATTTAAAAAAAAAAAAGAAAAAAAAAAAAAAAGAAAGTAAACCTGAGCAACTTGGTGACTTTTTGTCTTAAACTAAAAATAAAAGGACTGAAGATGTAGTTTATTGGTAGAGCACACCCCAGTATATTCAAGGCCCTCAGCCTGATCCCCTGTACTGCCAAAAAAACAAAAACTTGGAAAAATGGATACTCTAATCCCAATTTGCTTTTAGAAATAAACGTATTTTTGCTGGGTGTGGTGTTGCACAGCTGTAATCCCAGCACTTGAGAGGCTTAGGCAGTAGGTTCATTGCAAGTTTGAAACCCACCTGAGCTACAAAGTGAGCTCAAGGCCACCTTGAACTGCATGGCAAGACTGTGTCTCAAAAAGACAACATCAAAAAATTTTTCACATTTTTCAATTTGAGGAAATAAGCAGCAATTTATTACTACTTTCCATAAATAAGTTTACTTGTCTATCAAAGTAATGATAGACAAAATAGGGGCTGGGGATTTAGCTCAGTGGCATAAGCGCCTGCCTTGCAAGTGCGTGGTTGTGAGTTTGATCCCTGGTACCAATTAAAAAAAAATGTGAGAAGACAAAATAATAAGTGAATAAAGTTGTATCAATTTTTAAAAGTAATAAAATCCATTATTTAAATTTAGGAACATAATGTCAGAGTCTAAATATAATAATAGCCACAACTATTATACATCTTTCTGTGCTATTAGAAAAATACTCAAAAAATAATTTAAGGATTTAATCCCGAGTCTTTTACAGCTGCTCCAGAGACTAATTTAGTGCTTTGTGTTGATGAATCAGACCTTGGGAGGCTCAGGGGAGAACCCCTCAGCCAAGGTGATGGAACTAAATTCAAGAAGTTGTTCCTGTTTAGCTGTTTCAGCTAATATTCAGATGTTGCAACTGTAGTGTAAACTTTTGAATGGCTGTTTATTTTTTTAAGGTTAAATTGTTTTAAAGTTATAAAAATGTTACAGCTATGGTAATCAGAGGCTCACTATGTGGCTCTTGTTGTAAACCGCCTTTGGCCCTTTCCTCTGTGGACTGCACCCCACTATTTCAAGCCATGTCTTCCTGCTTGCTTCCACTTCAAGAAAAACAGGCTCAGCAGGACAAACTTTGACCTGATCTCGTTTAGTCTTCATGAAGCTTTTTCTGCCTGCCTATGATATAGTCAGTGTTAGTTGCTAATAATAACTTCCACGTATTAAGACTTAGCATGTGCCACCAAAACAAGGATGAAAAGAGGAGCCCTTGATGATGCTGTGTTCCTGTAGGTGACAAGTGTGCCAATGAAAAATTGTGATGCAGTAAGAGAGTTACCTTCATGAACCGACTTGACTTCCTGAGAGGCATCTTCAGCTCGGGCTCCATGTAAGCCTGTTGCCTCGATGCTGCCTGCACACTCACAAGTCCTATCCCAGTTACCGCACCCAGTGAGCGGCCCCCTTGGTGATGTGAGTCACACTCCACACCCCCATTTGCCACCTACTTTGCCACCAGGCTGGGTCTGTGTGCATTTCTTGCCTATCTCCAGTCCATCTGCTCCCTGCCCTCTGCTCAGACCACACCCAAAGTACTATCACTTTGTAGCAAAGATGACCCAGCGGTTGTTTCCTGGCTTATCTTCTAACACCTGTTCCTGTCGCACCCTGTACACACACCATTGCACACATGCACTCTACGCATACAGGTCCTTCATTTGGTCCCTCCCTAGTTCTTTCCCTGTATCCTAGAACAGAAGCTGTGTTCCCTGGTTCCCTGGGCCTTGGAACGCCCCACTCCCCACCGCCTCTCCTGCTGCTCACATCCCTGCTGTCTCTTCCTTGGGAAACCCATCCTAAACCCCTAACTCATCTGCATCTAGGTCTTCTGAAAGCATACCTTACTGATTTTGGGAACTTGGCTTTACATTTGTATTTGTGATTCTTTGCTGTGCTGTTCCAAGAAGGCTAGAATTCTTTACTTTCTCTGTTGATCTTTGTTCACTCTTTGTCACCCTTAGCAGGAATGTGTGGCTCTGCATGGTATTTGTAGCACAGGAACCCTGATTTTGCTGACAGTAGTCCCTGAATAAGTGTTTGCTGAATGAAATCCATACAGCAGGCTGGGGAATGGAGGAGAAAGCACCTTAGTCTCTCAGAGAAGTCAGGTGAGGTGGTATTAGGACAGAAGGGTTTCTTATCACAGTGGATATGGACAGAGGGGAGAGTATGGTCAGTGCAGTAAACTGGTGAAGCATGTTGGATAGGGACCTGTTAAACTGTTTCAGTTCCTCAAGCATGAAGGATGAGTTGAGAGAGTGTGAAGGCAAGGCTGAATGGTAAGTCCAGGAAATGATCTGTAGTTTCTGCAAGGTATCGTGATATTACCTTGAAGAGTTGTGGGTTCCTGCTGTTTACCACTGAGCTACACCTTGAGGCCTCAACTAGTACTTTTTAAAAATTGAAACCTACTGGGCTAGGAAATAACACATTATATGGTATATAAGTAGCAAGGACAAGTGTGGCATGGCATCTTCGTGTGTGTATGTGTGTGTGTGTGTGTGTGTGTGTGTGTGTGTGTGTGTGTGTGTGTATGTGTGTGTGTGTTATAAACATGTGTTTGTGTGTATGGCTCTGCAATGTAAAATGTATTTCAGTGTGGTTGGTCTGGAGTAAAAGCATGACATTTGAACATCCCTGTTGGAGGTGTTGAGAACCACTGAAAGATGTCAGTCAGGGGCTTGACATCCAGACCTCAGTGTTGGCGATGCCTCGTAGTCCTGACCTGGAACATGGAAGGGAAGAACAGGAGGATGATAAGGCAGTTACAAGAACCAGTGGTAGGTGCAGGACTAAGATAGGGCCTTTCCTAAGGTATAGGAGGGTGATGCAGACCTCTCAGGAGGGGGTGGTTTAGGGAGGTTAGGATGATGCCCAGCAATCAGCCTGGCTAAAGCTGTATGGAAATGCTAGTCACACACCTATTTGTACTCTTTTCCAATTCATGTTTTGGTCACCTGAAATAAACCTTTTTCTCATTAAAGAGCTGCCTGGGTAATATAGTTTAAACCATAGAATCTGCAATGTCACGAAAGAGGCAGTACTCTGTGGGCCAAGGCCTGCTCTGTTGGCAGTTCTGTCCGCAGGAGGAGTTGCTACAGAGGGCCAGGAAGGAGGTTTTCCTTTAAGTCTTCCAGTGGTGAGTTTTGTCCTGCTCACTCCCTCTCTCCTCACCCATGTCCCTGCCAACCACCACTCTGCCTTTCTTGAAGCTGTGAGGACAGCTAGGTGTTCATGTGGTTATCTCCTCGGGTTGGGGCGGGAGCATTAGGTATCTTTCATTTTCTTTTTCATGCTTTTCTTCATCTTCAGGGTTTTCTATAAGGAAATATGTATTACTTGAACCATCTGTTTTTCTGACTACCAGTGAATGAATATAGGTTTGTTTTAAGCAATTAAAAGAACATAATAATATATTAAAAATGATGGGACTATATCTGGTAATGCTGCCCGACCCAGACAAAATCACTGCTAGTATTTTGTTGTGTGTTTTTTTTTTTTTTCTTTGTCATTTTTATCGGTACCGGGGATCGAACTCACGACTGCCTGCTTGCAAGACAGGTGCTTATGCCACTGAGCTAAATCCCCAGCCCCTTAGTATTTTGCGTGCATAGCAGCCCACACAGTCACCTGTATTACTCACAGGTGTGGGTATAGCCCTGCATGCCTCTGTATGTCCATAGCTTGTCCGTTTCCCACTAGCCAGTAACAGTGAGCACAGTGAGTTTGCAGATCACAAACCCAGAATGGTGTGAAGACTGTAAACTAAACAAGTGGATGGGATAGAGTGGACAAGTTATAGCAGTGGTGGGTGGCACCTGGTGTCATGGGGGCTACTATAATTGGCTCTCACTGTTTGTTTTTGCTATGTGAGAAGGCCCATCCTTGTTGGATCTTCTGAGGCTCCGGGAGAAGCTAGAAAGCTGGAATCATTTGGTTAGAGTTTTGTAATGTTTCACAGGCCATGGGCCCATCTGCTGTCTGGATTGTGGCTATTGAGGAGCTGGTTTGCTACTGGATATAGATGTTTATCATTTTATGAAAGTAGCTTTATAAAAAAGTTTATAATTGTGTGGCACCTGTCCTATTTTTAAAATTTATTTATTATCATTATATCTGATGTACTTTTTCCCTTTTTTTACAATATAAACATATTCCACCTCACATTTAAAATAGAGCAGTGTATTGTTCCCCCGAGGGCCCAATCCAGTGATACTCTGAGCAACTTTTTCGCAGTGTCAAAAGTGTTACCATGGCCTTCTTACAAAGGATTTAGAAAAGAGTGGAGAATTGCAGAGGCTGAGTATGGATTGGCGGTGTCTTGTCTTCTCAGCAGAAAGGATGGTTCATGTCACTAACCTCTGTACAAAGGCTGAATGACCAGGGACAACAGGTGCTTTGTCCATGGGCTTGTTAGAAAGTAAGGGAAGAAACAGGAATCAGGCGCAAGAGTCCAATCTTTAATTCTCACCCACACGAGAGGAAGGATTGGCTCCGTCTCCAGAAGATTGTGGAGCCTGCTGTTTGTGTTCCTGTGGCAGTGGCACTGAGGAGTTCCTACTCTTTCAGATTGTCCTGAAGGATTTATGGTCTGTGAAAGATTTCCTGGGTACAGAAGAGGAAACCAGCGAGAAGAGGCAGTGCTGAGTTCCTTGCCTCTCTCTACCCCTAGAGCCTCCATCTTCTCTGTTAAGACATGATCACTGATGTACCAATCATAGAGTTGTTGAGAGGATTATATTTGAGTAAGATAAAGACTTGAAAGAAACTAGCACTGTGCTCAGCAATATTGGGCCCCTTCTCTTTTATTACTTTTTCAGTGCAAAACTCAACGTGTTTCATATGAGCTTTAAGGTTGCAGACTCTTCTGGTTGCAGAATAAAGAGCAATGGATGAGTGATGGTAGCATAAAGAAGTAGAGCTGCCACTTGAGACATTAACACACTTTAAGCAGAAACTGACTTTTTTGTTTTGCTTTATTTATGGTTTTTGACGTGTTTCTGTTTTGGTCTGACTAGGAGGAGCCTGATCTGGTTAGTGCAATTTATGGCCGAGGGATAGCCTATGGAAAGAAGGGACTACATGTGAGTATGTAATAGCCACGACTGCCCCCATGCCTGCCTGCCCTGACACGGCCAGGCTTCTGCCGGATCTGCTTTCTGCTCGTTAGCTCTGGTGGGGCACGCATGAGGATGGGCAAGGGGAGGTTGCCCAGGTCAAAGGGTAGCGATTGGCAGACAGGGGTTTCTGCCTGGGTCCTGAAGTCAGTGTTGATGAACGGGATGTAGATCTGACAGTTGCTGAGAAGCCTTCACTGTAAACATCAGGGTGGGCACTGGCAGTGCAGCGGGAGGTAAAACTTGAGTTTTTCTCACAGCCATGCAGCTCTACAAAAGAACATAAGGGTTTTTTTAGTGTGTAAAAATTATTTTCATTTGCTATATTGTATGCTTTTTTACAGATGGGTATAGTATCTCTGTGGTTATAACCAAATTATTTCCTTGTTTCTCTGAGGAAGACAGGAAAAAGGTTATAATAAGTATATTTTATGCAAACAAAGCTGCCATGAGATAAAAACACTTTCTGGAGATCACTTAGTAAATTATAAGATGGTGTAACGTGCACTTTTCCAGGTTTTTTTTCTAGACCAGTGATAGTGAACCTTTTAGAGCTTTCAGTGATAACAGATGCCTGCTGCAGCCTGTGTGCCATAGGTTTGCTATTACTGGTTTAGACCATTATACCCAAACCTTTTCTATTGTGTTACTACATATTAAAAGAATTCCTGTGCCATTGTGCTTTGAAGGATTCAAAGGATTTTGAACAGATCAAAATATCACTCGTGTAACTTTTACATTAAAAATACTAACATCTTTAACATTTTTAGTACATATTTTAATTAAAAGTATCAAAACATTAAAATTATAATGATATTATATGACGCTATTGCTGGCCTGTTGGAAGAAATTTACATAGTATTTGTATGGTCCTGAGATCCAGAGGACTGTGGAGCTCAGCAGTGAGATGATGGAGGTGCTCAGGGTGAAAGCAGCAGTGCCCTTATGGGTCAGCAGAGGACTGGGGTGAATCTGCCCTAGTGAACATCAGACAAGCTGCTTCTGTTCAAGTCTCATGCTGTTTAGTTTTCCATCATGACATGTAACTGGCTTGTAGCTTTAATGAAAAGTTACACCTGCATTTTTTAATGTAAAAGAAACATGCAGATGTTAAGGAGAACTTGTCTAGACCAGTTGTAGGTTTATGGTCTTGATTAATACTTGGCCCACTTCTGTCCCCCTACGCCACTGATCAGCTTCATTGCACAGGCTGGTGTCCACATATTCATCCTTCAAAAATGTTGGCTCCATATTTAGATAGATCGTGTTTAGTAAAATCCTGCTGCCTCTGGAACCTGGGTTAGGCATCCTTGTCCTGTGTGCTAGTGTATTGAAGAGCAGAACATTTGGGTACGCTAAGTAATTGTACCATTATGACTTACTGAGCTTGTCAAACCTTTTATGTGGAAACAAAGTTCATATTTATTTCTAAACAATTGGTTGTATCATTAATACTACATTACTAGATATTTCAGAAGATCTTTTCTACCTGGTTTCTACAAGTCTGTCTCACACAAAGTTAATGCCTTTTCAAGGACATTAAGAATGCTGAGCTTGCTTTGTTCGAGCTGAGCCGAGTAATTACCTTGGAGCCAGACCGTCCAGAGGTATTTGAACAGCGAGCAGAAGTGAGTGCAGTTTTCTTCTTCCCTCTGTTGTCATTGGATTAGTTGAATACAGGTTTTTCTCCTATTATTTGGACACTTGTAAATATGCCTATTGTTTTCCCATGTTGGTATCTAGTGGCTTTAAGCATGTGAACTGAGTGACACTCCTGATCAACATGTAAAAATAATATTTAGTATTAAAATATGAAGTTGTGATGTTTACTATTTCTGTCAATATTCACTAAAAATATACCACACATGAGCCATATGTGGCTCACATCAGTAAATTCAGCTAATGAGGAGGCTGTAGCAGGAAGATCATAAGTTGAAGATCAGCCTGGGCAACTTAGCAAGACCTTGTCTCAAAATCTAAAAAAGCAAAATAAGTGTGGGAATGTAACTCAGTGGTAGAGCACTTGCCTAGCATAGTTAAACTCAAGCATATAGCCCTTACTTGTTCTGTTGTGTATGTGGCGGGGAGGAAGGGTGTGTATGTATGTATGTTGCATGTTTGTGTGCACATGCACACATTCGTGTGTAGTTCTCAGGAGAAAGGCCTATCTGTGTAGCTGCATATGCATAGATGCATAGACTGTAACACGACATTATAGGAATTACAAGTGTGTGCATGCTTGTATATACTCCTTACAAGATGGACCAGTTCACAGAGATGCCTAAGGCAGATCCATAACCAGACCTTAAAAGATATGACAAGGTGGGGGCTCCTGGTCACATTGCATGGATACCTGGAGCTTTCTCAGTGAACTGAGAGCAAGGTGGCAAGTGTGCCCAGTCTGCTGGCAGAGTGACATGTGAACTGATCAAGTTCCAACTAAGGGACAATGGGAGGAGGGTATTGAAGCAGAGAAAAGAGAGTGCATATTTATTTCTGTTGTGTATTTGAATCCATGTGTTCTTTTCATTGCGTTCTAAAATTAATAGAAAACTTTTTAGGGTTTGTGTGTGTTGATGTATTAGATCTGAATGAAGCTGAACCTGTAATTATCTGATATGCTATTTTATAGTTAAACTAAATAAAAATTACTTTTTTTCTGTTTGGGGAGAGGAAGCTAGCAAGTAAAGGAGCACTAAATATTCAATCATTTAAAAACTTTATTTGTAGTGGAGTGCAGTGGTGCACACCTATAATCCCAGTTATTCCTGAGGCAGGAGGATCAAGAGTTGAAGGCCAGGCTGGGCAACATACTAACACCCCCTTCTCAAAACAGCAGCAATTTGTGATGTTTTCATTCTCAAAATTATAGTTCAGTCTTTTAAAGTGGATTTATGTTTTGTTGGGATTTGAGTTTTCAAGTAAGATCCTCAATTAGTGATGTAATTCCTCCCTTCTTGTCAATGTTAAACTGTAGCCCCTGGGTTAGATGACCATAGTTCTGTCATCATTGCAGGAGATTCTTGTGGGTACAGTGGTCATCTGGCAGTCAGTGTGGGGACGTCTTTATACAGGGGTTCAGTGAGTCTCACTGTTACTCTGGTATTGCATTGAATTGTTCTGATAAATTGTGAATTTAACTCACTGTACTTAGAAACAGTTTAACAGGTTATTAAAGTTTGCATATCTAATAAAAATCTAATTGTTATCCACAATAATATTGATAATTAGAACAATAGTTTTCATTCATCTTAAAAGTTATATAGTAATATTCTTTTATGGCATTATTTGGGCAAAATTACTTTTATAACTATATCATAGCATACTATTTAACTGGAAAGTCATTTTGTGAGACATTTTTACTTTCTTACTTGAAGATAATTTATATTTGATGAAAAGAATTTACCTTTTCAAATTACACATCACTATGGTTATTGAGTGGAGTGATAAGGTGTGATAATTCAACTGTGTACCAAAGGTCTAATAAACCAAGTAAGGGTGTTTTTCCTTCCAAGCGCACTCCTGAGTGTCCATGTCCTCTTTTGGAGCTGTCACCCTTACCACCAGCTAGGGACCAGCCAGCTCTAGTGTCCTCCTCTCATGGTTTGAGCTCTTGCCAAGGAGGGGACTGGTTAGGAACCATGAATAGAAGTGACCCCTGGAAAGAGATTCAGCTCTGAGGATGTTTGTTCCAGGATAAAGTATATAAGCTGAGTTTTATGAATATTGATGCCCATCTTGGGTTTTCATGTATCTTTTTGGCTACTTTCATATCCTGAACTATCTCTGTATTGCCACATTTTCTGAACACTTTCCCAAACAGGTTTGCAGATACTGTTTTTCCTGCGCTGCAGTGTGGCTGAGGAGTTAGGACCTGACAGAGTGCCCAAGATGCTAGAAATTGTCATTAGGCTCTTGCTCTCACAGAAGAGAGCTAGACCATGGAGGACTGTAATCTATGTCATTTGTCCTGATGGTTCAAAGTTACGTTATTTTGTTTGGTACTCAGAATTGCACTCAGTACCTTGCATTTGCTAGGTAGGCGCTTGTGCTGCTGAGCTATCCCTGGCCCTATGTAGATTAATTTTTATACATGTATGGCAAATCTACATGTACATATACATGTATGTGTGACTTGAAAGATACATATAGGTCAAAAGAAAAAGGTCCTATTTACAGAAGAGCAAAATTACCTGAGTGGGAGCAGTGTGGGGCAGCAGCTGCAGCCATAGAGGCCCTCAGCCCCACTCACTGGACAGAGGTTAGGGGCACTCTGGCATGGAGACTGTGAGCTCTACCTGAGGCTTAGGCTGCGGTTCCAGCCTTGAGAGTGCCCAGCTGTAAATAGTGTGTGGTGAAGTGGCACTGAGAGTGTGGGCAGCATTAGGTTGATCCTTCAGGCTTTTCCTGATAACATGCTTTGGATTTCTAGATTCTGTCCCCTCTGGGGCGAATTAATGAGGCAGTGAATGACCTCACTAAAGCTATTCAGCTTCAGCCATCTGCACGGCTGTATCGACACCGGGGGACCCTGCACTTCATATCTGAGGTGAGCTGCTTTACCTGACGTCCCTTCCTGACGGTAAACATCGCACTTTTCATTGCAAATTGGAAAGCAGCTCTTTAACAGCTTCAGGTTCCAGCTGTTTTTAATAAGGTGTATCTGCACAACAAGACAGTTATTAAAGCATTTTCATTAGCTGAAATTAATTCCAGTAGAGAATATTAAGTGTGAAAATCACAGTTTCTACTTTGAGCTGTCAGAGTAGCAAAGTCTGGACTAATATAAAAGACTACAAGGTGGAATTGCACTTTACCCTTTCCTGCAGGTATGGCATAGGAACTGTTGTGTAGGCTCCCTGCGGCCTGTCATGTAGAAGGGGAGTTAGGGTTTGTTTGGGTATTTCAGTGTGGAACTGGAACCAGGAGCTGGATTGGGTGGTTTTCAGATTATGGCCTCTCTGTAGAAGTGATGCAAAGCCAACAAGCACATCTTATTGTTGCTTAGGTACCCAATTGTCACAATTATTTTGGGGGCTTATAATATTTTTAGCTTCCAATACTAGGGAAGGAATCCATGGGTGTTGTATCACTAAACTATATCCCAGCCCTTTTGCATTTTTATTTTGAGACAAGGTTTTGCTAAGAAGTATCCAGTATGATAAGATGTTGCTCTTAACAGATTATCATTTTAGTATACATAAAATATTCTTCCTATAGTTGAGACAAAAAGCTTACATTAAGCCTCTTTGAAAATCAGCTACTAACAAGTACTAAAGCATTCAGCTAATATTTATGGCCATGAACTGGTTCCTTTAAAGCTCAAAAAATAAATAAATAAAAGGTACAGAATGAATTTGGATTTTTTTCTCTGTTGAACAGAAGCAAGAAATGTCCTACTTCTGTCCTTCCTTCTCCTCTTTGCAGGACTATGCAACAGCACACGAGGACTTCCAGCAGTCCTTAGAGCTGAACAGAAACCAGCCCACGGCCATGTTGTACAAGGGCCTGACCTTCTTCCACAGAGGACTTCTCAAGGTGAAGGTGTCTGGCTGCGTACATGCACTATGCATGGTCTGCTTTGCAGGGGCACTTGGGAGTTTAGCGTGATATGTTTTAAAATGAGATCTTGTATGTGCAACTGGTATCTTTTAGAAAGCGGTCTAAATATTTATTGAGCTCCTACCACCTGCCAGTTCTTGGAGAGAGGCACAAAAAGGAGAGGATAAGAGACTAATAAGGGAAAAATTAAACTTTCACTTCAAAGGGCACAGCTTGCAGGGTTCAGGTGAGGCCTGAGAGGGACCCTCCAGCAGAGCAGACTGAGTGAGGGTTCAGGAAAATGGGAACGCGGTCAGCATAGAGAATGGGTGTCTAGAGTATGATTTGCATGCAGGGCTAGAAGGTGAGTGAGAGCCAGTCCGTAGTCTGAAGTATAAGGATGAGCATTCTGACTCAGGTTTGTAGACTCGGGAGTGGAGCTATCAGTGTGGGGAAATCCCAACTTGAGACCAAGTCTGTGCTTTAGGAAAGGGACTGTGGTGGTGTAGTGGAGGGGCAAGGATGTCAGCGAGACAGACCAGGAGACACTGATCATGTCCTGGCCATGGGGGAGGAGACCTAGCTGAGCTGCTGAGGGGCCACAGGAGCAAAGACAAACAGTATCAAGACTGGTGGTATGACAAACTAGGACCACAGAATATTCTGGTTGCAAGGTGCAAGAGCACTGGCTGAGTGCATAGGGAGGACAGGCTCCTTCCTCCTGCCCCATGCTCCATGTGTGGCCCTGCTATGTGTTGAGACCTTGCCATGCAGCAAGTTGTGCCAGGAGCCAAGCAAGGGGAGCCACCTCGTGCCAGTGACCTAGTATGGGGCACAGCAAGTGTCTGAGGAAAGGTAGACTGGGCACAAGGACTTGCTCAGCCAGAAAATGTCATCCTACTCAGGAGATGAGGACTTCTTCACAGAGAAGGTGGCTTAGGCTGGACTGTGATGTCTTGAAGAGTGGGCAGCACTGGAGTAGACTGCCACAAAAAGTACTTGCGTTCCATCGCAGACATAGTTGTGCAGACTTTTAAGGATCTAACATACACTGTCAGTCCTGTGACTGCGGGTTTCACATCCTCCAATCTAGATAACTGTGCATTGAAAATATTTAGAAGGAAAATTGTCTCTGTATTAAACATGTATAGTCTTTTTTTCTTATTCCCTAAACAGTAAACTATAACAACTACTTCCCTAGTATTTACATTTACATTTATATTTACATTTACATTTGCATATTAGGTGTGGTGAGTCACCTAGAGAAGACATAAAGTACAAAGATGATATGTGTGAGTTTCGTACAGATACTGCACTGTTTTACTTAAGAGACTTGAGAACCTTTGGATTTTGGTACCTGAGAGAGTTCTGCACCAATCCCCTGTGATACCAGGGCTGACTATGTATGCACTGGGGGATTGGTGGAGAGTTATCCTGTGTAAAGGCCCATGTTGATACTCAGTGCAGAGGACAATGCCTGTTAGTCAGACACTCAAGAATATTAGTGGGTCAATGGACCTCAAGGTCAGAGCCTTGAAATTAGAAAGTTTGCTAAGATCCCTGTCTTGAACCTTGCTAAGTACACTGCTGGACAAGTTACTTGAGCTCTTTCATCTTTTACGTCAATAAAATAGCCATGATCCTACTTTCTGCCTCTTGAAGTGACTATTGACTGAACAAAATACTGTATGCGAAAAGTACTTAGTAAGCCTTAAACAGGAATGATATATTATTACAGATGATTTTACCTGTGAAATTTAATGTATGTTTTATAGATTCTAGGAAATACCCCTCTCTCCCTAAAAGCCAAATCAAAGAGAATCTTGCAAATTCTGTTTCATGCACCTGACATCCTTTATGCACGTTTGTAAAGGGTAGAGAGAAATACACATTGTACCCTGGACTTGGGCTGGGAGCCTTGGGTTTGGAGAGCAGTTTCTTGCTCAGGATGCATCTGAGAGGCTGCCAGATGAGATTCCACTGTGCTCTGTTCCTCATTTTGTCTCACTGAGAGCTTTCATGAAAAATAAGAACCACAATGCTTTGCTCAGCCCATCCTTTGAGTAGCTGCTAATAGAAGAAGAAAATTTAAAGCCTCCAAGATGCCATCCTGTTAATACTAAGAGTATTTTTAAAAGTAAACAAATGATCCCACACTTGCCTTTGTTTCTATGAATCAGGTGTAGGAACTGGCACATTCTTTGGGTTGTTTGGAAATGAGATTTTTGAAAAGAGTTGTAACTACACATCAAACAAGGACAGAAATTCAACTTGGTTTATTGCAGATCCCTACAATGAGACCCTTAGGAGTGATGCTTTGCTGTCTGAGAGAACCACTCTTTCCAAGTTACTGGGTCCTGTCTCCTCTGTTAGTGCTTGTAAGCACCACAGCCACAGAGCAACTTAAGACTCTCCATTCTTGTATGTCTGTACTGTCTGAGAAGGTCAGCATAGTCATATACTGTCTCCTCCCAAAAGCATCCCCAGAAAGCACAGAAGGTACCAAGATGTCCAATTACTTAGATTGGAACATAGAGTCAATGGTGAGATGGCTGACTTAGTGAATGAACTTGGTCCACATGTCTCTTTTTCTTGTTAACCAGAGAAGACAGGCTTTAATGGACCAATGAGTTTGAGCTGTCTTTGTATCCTAAAATTAGTCTGCTTAAGCCAACAGCAATTTAGAAATTAATTAGGTGTATAATTTCTTACTTTGTGTGCTACATTAGGAGAATATAAGGCATTAGTTACATTTCAGATGTCACAGCTGACCTGCTCAGGTGATGTATTGAGAATTTGAATCTTCCCAGGGAAGCAGCAGCCCATGCTTCCCTGTTGAACTGCATCTCTTTTATCTGTGTGGTGGGATATCTCAGACTTCCATGCTGTAAACACCCATTCTGTGAACCCTCACTCTCATCTGCCAAATGTGCTCTCAGCCTCCGTGAGCATAGTGACGACTGCCCATCACCTGGAGAGGATGTGGTGACACAGAGTGGTAAAGGTCACATTCATCAAGCAGATGAATTCAGAATAGTTTCATGCATTGAGAGACTGACTCATTTGAACATAGTTTCTTTGTTCCTGATGGCTTAAAATCTTGATTCTGCTATGTCCCCTCTTTGGCAGAATGAGGTAGAGAGCTGTGCAGTGATTAGACAGGAACCCTGAAACCAAAGACTCTTAAAAGCTGAAGAGAGATCAGACTTGAAGAACGGTGGCGTCCAAGCATGCTGTAAGTGGAGTGGGCAGCAGATCCCTCCTGGGCATCTCCACCCAGATGTCCACACACTGCAGACGTAACATGCCACCCTTGGCCCCCAGCTCTCCTTTCTCCTATTCTTGTGTTGGTAGTGAGTGCCACCTACCTAGGCTCTTCGGCTTGAAAGCTTCCCACCTGCCCCTCCCTCACTCCCAACAGCTCCTGGAGCCTCTTTCCCTTTGAGTTTGACCCTTTTTTCTTCCCACACTCTCAATTTGAGCTTTCATTATCTCTAGCCTGGATGCCACAGCAGCCTCCACACTGGCTGTCTTTCCCTGTTACTTCTTCCCTGAAGCCTTCTCTATTGTAATCATCTTTCTGAGAGAGATGGCCTGCCCCAGGCTGCACCAGCGAATCCTTGCTGGGTAGGTCCTGCTGGCTCCACACACCACTGGCCTCCTGCCTTGCCCTCCACACCCCACAGTGTGCCCTGTACTCCTGCATACCTGACCCCACCTGCCCAGTGCTCTGTGTCCCCAAAGGACCCACCCCTCAACAGGATGCTTTCCAGACTGCTTTTTGGACTCTGAGACCCACTCTGCTGTCACATCCTCCCAAAACCTGTTCTGGTGTCCCCAAACACAGTTCCTGGTTTTCTTCTCTTTACCCCCAGAGACTCACTTCTATTTCTGTTGTAGTTCTTATTCGCTATGTTAATAACATGGTTACATAATTGGCTTTCTAACTAGCGTGTGCATTCTTAGGTAACAGAGATAATGATTTGCTCATCTTTGCATTCCCTGTTCCCTGCACTGTCTCTGGTACATAGTAGGCACTCAATACATGTTTGTTGAATGAGAGTGTAGCTTTAGAAATCCCAAAAGATCAAGGGTACACCATGGCAGGAAGCCAAATTAAGAGCAGTCTTCAGTTTCTTCAGCATTAAAATGTGTCCATTCCTCACAGAAACCTTGGTCTTGCTGCTGCCCTAGTCTCTGTAGCCAAATGGAAGCCAGCCTCTCTCCCCTCCCATCTCCCAGAGGAAATCTAGCAGGGAACAAATGGCTTTTTTGAAACAGGGTCATGCTGCTTTTGTAAAACTGTTTTGAGTGTACCGATCATCAAATATTTATTGGGTGCCTACCATGTGCAAGGCATGTGACATCTTCAGTAGCTGTCTCCCACCAACAATTGAATCAAGTATGGCATTATCTAAAGTCTTTCTCATTAAGGCTATTGCATTTAATGATATGTTGTAGCAGTTAACTTTAGTAGGGTACATCTTGTCCTAGGGAAAATGTGAGGTGTCTTCTTAATTTTTTGACAGTACTAATGAAGCCATGATGGGAAGTGCCATCAGTGCCAGGTTAAGTCTAGGGTGTTTATTCTCAAGCGGAAGGACGCTGTGTCATTAGTATCCATAGATGGGGGCATCAGGCATCAGTGTGTGCACACACACTTGTGGTGGCTCCCAGGGCACGGTGCCAACGTGGCCTCTCATTTCCTCAGCCAAACATCTGCGGCTGTGTGTGCAGGAGCTGAGCCCAGCACTCCAACTTTAGAATTTTGGTTTTATTTTCATTTTACTGTTTCTTTTTCCTTATAGGTCATGAAAATCCCTTAGATAGCCAATCTCAGAGTCTCTTTGCTTCTTTCATACATATTTTTTGGTCTGTTTTGTTGACTCAGTTTTAAATGTTGCTAGTTGTGGTTGTTTTAAATTATCTCAAAAAGTTATAGTTTACTTTTGGTCCGCTGGACTTTTCTTAATTGAGGAAATGATATTCATTACGCAGAGTCCTAATGAATTAGATAAAATTGAAAGTTGTTTTCTTACTTTAAAATGGAGAAACGTAAGGCTGTTTGTTATCGTCATGCATTTGAGGTTTCATTTAAAATAATTTTTTCAGAGACCATGTATAATATATATTTAGGCCTTTTAGCAATTTAAGTGAAGCTCAATTTTAAAGAGTTATGTAAATGAAATAATTTTCTATATACTTTTTTCAGGAAGCTATTGAATCTTTCAAAGAAGCTTTGAAGCAGAAAGTTGATTTTATTGATGCCTATAAAAGCCTGGGGCAGGCTTATAGGTAAGTAGCTATAGGATGAGCGACAGAGGGTAAAGGGGGAAAGACACATAATAGTGATATTATAAAAGATATTACATCTCCTAACTAAAGAGGTAGTTTCTTTGAGTTGTGCAGTCTTGATGCTGACATTTCAAAAATAAGGGGGACCATGTCACATACAGGCCTCAATGCATAGCACCATTTCCAAAACCTCAGTATGTGCATTGCCTGGGGGACAGCCATTCTCAAGGGTCACTATTTTGAGCCTTGAGCCAGCCATTAGAGGCTGTTGGCCTATAGATGCTGCTGCCTTTAACATGAAGGATGGAAGGGCCTTGTTATAATACACCTGTCAGGCATAAAAAGTTGTGACTAGATCCTGACTTCCTGGCTCTATGTATTGCTCTCCTAAATAGAACCTTTTGACTTAAAAACTATTATACTTGGGGCTGGGGATATGGCTCTATGGTAGAGCTCTTGCCTTGCATGCACAAGGCACTAAAAAAACAAAAACCACTATTATACTCTTGCTGGGTGTGGTGGCTCACACTTGTAATTCTAGTACTTGGGAGGCTGAGGCAGGAGGATCACAAATTTGAAGACAACCTGGGCTGTGTAGCAAGTTCAAGACCAGCCTATACTACATAGTGAGACCATGTCTCAACAACCAAACCAAAGAAAAAAAATTACCCCTCTGATGAGAAAGGAGAGAGCATGATAGGGTGGACAGGAGTTCAGCAATAGGAGTCAAGAGCCTTGTCCAGACTGGTCTGCTCTGCTGCATGGCCCTGACTTCCCTGGGCTTCAGGTGTCCCACTAGTAAACGTCAGAAATCCCCTGGCAGGTACCTCCTCCAAGGGATGTTACATTTAAGGGCTTGTTTATCTAGTGTAATAGTTTGAGTAACTATCTTGCACTAACTTAGAGAAAGTGCTTGGCTTGGGGGGATAGGATAGTTAAGATGATATTTATCCTTCCTATTTATAGAATTCTTGGGAATATACAGTGAAAGCAGATTGGAAAGTGCCTTGTAAAGTGTTACATAAATGTAAGCAGATATTATGTTTTTAAAAAGCACTTACTACTTATTTAAAAAATTAGTTGTAGGAATCTAAGAAAAAACCTGATAACAGAAATTCTCAATCAGATACCTGATTCAAAGAGGCTATTAAGTAACTAACATTCCTAGCTTCTGCATTAAGTAACTCTAAATAGCACAAAGTACCTTAAAGAGCAATCATCTCTGAGGTAAGTCAGAAAATAAAGTATTTTGGAAACTTTTTATTCTTTGTAAAAATTTTAATATGTAAAAGACTGGTTAGTAACAATTATTTTCATTCTGGAATGATAATAATTCTAAAATATGTTCTTTTTTTAAATTTCAAATTACATAGTGATTTACTTGATGTTAAAGGAAGTAATTTCAGTGACCAAAAATATATAATTTTAAGCCTCAGAATGATGAGGCTGTGAGGTATGCTATATTCAATATACTTTTTTCCAAAGAGGGAAGTTTTTATCCATATACTGAAATGTCGAGGGATTTTCTGGAGCTCAAGAATTGGGAGAAATTTGAGCATTTGCTTTTGGAAAGCAATAAATATCAAACTAATGGCCACTTTTTCGGGATATGATGTGTTGGAGGCTTTGTACAGCTGTAAAGTGCCGTAGTAACAAAGGAGACACACCCGGGACTGTCATGTGTGGTAGCTTGTTCTCTGTAATGTCCACACTGTGGGTTTGTCACTGTCTTAAACACCTAGAGAACTGGGCAACTTTGAAGCAGCCACTGAGAGCTTCCAAAAGGCACTGCTGCTCAACCAGAACCATGTGCAGACCCTCCAGCTCCGGGGGATGATGCTGTATCACCATGGCAGCTTGCCGGAGGCCCTGAAGAACTTCAAGGTAAGCCTCAGTGAGTGAGAAGCCCTGTGGCGGGGTTCTTGTTCTTCAGAGTTCAGGGAAATGGCTAGAGAAGAGGGCTAGGAATAGTGCATGGTGCATACACCTTCACAGAAGGAGAGGTCATTGCCTTGTCCTGTAGCTCACAGAGCACATGTGTGGTTGTGACCTGCCATGAAGGAGAACTTCTAGTTCCAAAGGAGAATAATAATCACAGCAAACTCTCTCAAACTGCCGTGGTTCTAATGCAGTCTCTGTCCTTCCATGCCTCAGCGGTGCCTGCAGCTAGAGCCATACAACGAGGTGTGCCAGTACATGAAAGGGCTCAGCCATGTTGCAATGGGACAATTCTATGAAGGGATAAAAGCACAGACCAAAGTGATGCTCAATGACCCTCTCCCAGGCCAGAAGGCCAGCCCAGAGTACCTTAAGGTGAAATATCTCCGAGGTGAGTCAGAAGACAACAGAATTGTTGGTTTCTCGTTTTCAGGCTGCGAAAGTATCATTTGACACTTGAGGGTCTAAAGAAGCTCGTAGCTGTCATAGCTACCCTTCCAGAGTAGTATGAGGATGGGGTGGGTTCCATGTCTTAGAAAGACCCACCTGATGCTCTCTCTAGCCTACTTACACTTTTTCTTTCTAAAGTTCAAATAAATTTTTCAGCAAAAGACATATTTTGAACTAAATGTGATTCTCATTTAGCATTGTCATGCCTTCTTACCTTTCATCCAAAGACACAGAAGGCCAACAAAGTAACCTTCTGTGAGGTTTCACTGTTAGGTATGACTCATTGAATTTTCATTTCTTCCTATTGTAGAGAAATTGAGTCGGGAGAAAGGAAGCAAATCTTTCCTATCCTTTCATTAATCATAGTCTGAGCTTTTTACATCTTGTTTTTTTTTTTATTAACTTTTTATCGGTACTGGGGATTGAACTCACGACTGCCAGCTTGCAAGGCAGGTGCTTATGCCACTGAGTTAAATCCCTAGCCCCCAGTCTAAGCTTTTTTCCACCACATGTAAAGGAACTTTGGTGGCTAGGGTGTAGCCCAGTGATTAAAGAGTATATGTCTAGCATACATGAAGCCCTGAGTTTGATGTCTTAGCTACTTTTTACTCATTGCTGAGACAAAATACCTGATGCCAAACGCTGGGAAAGGAAAGGTTTGTTTCTTACAGCTTTTGTAGGTTTCAGTCCATACTCAGTTGGCTCCAAGGCAGGGTGGCATGGCAGGCCACAGTTCATGGCGGCTGCAAACAGCAATGTGGAAAACCGAGAGAGAGGAGAGAGAGACAGACAGACAGAGAGGCAGACAGACACACAGGCAGACAGGCAGGCAGGCATACAGACATAGACAGAGACACACACACCTTCTTCCTGCTGTTACATTACATCCTGGCTCCACCCCTAGGCCAGTGTAGCACTCACACCCTCAGTCCAAGCGCTAGACAGTGAACCAATCACAAATGCATAATGCAAAGGCAAGAGGCTTAGGGGCCACTGACATAAACCATGACAATCTCCAACAAAACATGTAAAATATGTTTCTGGATGAGCCTGCATAAGCTTTATCATGCATTTTATGTAATTCAGTGTATCCAAAATTTAGTTCAACATATTATTCATATATTTTTTGTTTTATTTTCAAGACACAGTCTCATTATGTACTTCAAACTGACTTTGAACTCACTGTGTATTCTAACCTGACCTTGAACTTCCAGCAATACTCCTGCCTTAGCCTCCTAAGTGCTGGGATTATAGGCACCATGATGCCCGGCTTTTTTTAAAAAAACATATTAGTAATACAAAAACACTATTCATTATTTTATTTTTTGTGCCTAGCCTTTAAAATATAGTATATATTTTACACTTTTAGTTTCCCTCAATTTAGATGCCTAGTTTTCATTAGAAATACTTGATCTAAATTTAGATTTGATAAAATACATAGGTAAAAAAGTAGATTCATACCTGAGCATAGTAGTGGGTGCCTTAACCACAGCATTCTTGGAGACTGAAAAGGATTAGTCTGACATTTTTAAACCCAGCCTGGGTTTAAACATAGTGACTTAGTGAGATGCTGTCTTCAAATAAAAAAATCAAAATGGGCTTGGGTTGTAGCTCAGTGCAAAAGCTTTGGGTTCAATTCCAAGTACTAGAAATTATATATGCAGGTTGTTTTAAACATACTGAAGTTTTCTAATAATTGAATCAAAGATCAGCTAAGTTAATCCAAACTAAATAGAATATAAAGTTCAGTCACTTGGCACTTTTGCCTCATTTTAAGTGGTCAGTAGTCAGGTGGCATGGCCTCCCTACTGGGCAGTGCTGCTGTTTATTCTCATTTCCTGGGTTAGTGGAACTTGGACTTGTGCATTATAGATTAAAAGGGCAAAGACTCTTATATCTTGGGTTTTTTTGGTTTTTTGCATTGCTTCTGTAGCAGCAATAGCCATTAGTGAAATTGTACACCGAATTAACCTGTGTATTAGTTGAGAGAGTCCCAGACTCTAACATTGAACTTTGGCGCTCAGTTTCTGAAGTTAGGAGGAAAAAAATCAGATCTTTGGCACTGTTCATGGGAAGTATTCATGGGAAGATGGTAAAATTTAACTAAAGCAGACCCAGATTAACTTAGTCTTGACCTGAGTGCCTCAAGTCAGTCAGCATTATGTTACCTATGTCATAAAACAATAATACTATAACAACTTATTAAAATTTAGAGTTCTTTTAGAATTGTTGTAATTAAGTAAAAGCTTACTACAAAACAGCCGTATGAAGTGTTTCTTCAGCAGTGTTCGGGCGTGTCAGTTCTTGCCTTTCCTTGCCTGCAGAGTATTCTCGGTATCTCCACGCACACCTGGATACCCCACTCACAGAGTATAATGTGGATGTGGATCTTCCAGGAAGCTTCAAGGATCACTGGGCCAAAAATCTGCCTTTCCTCATCGATGACTATGAGGAACAACCTGGCTTGCAGCCTCACATAAAGTAAGGGCTTTGGACAAAGAGGAGTCTTTTTTTCAAAACCGAGCTATGAGTTCATCCTGATACTTTTTGATTAACAAATGACTTTCTGTTTAATTTCTTTCTGTAATATGTATGTCTTCAACTAATTCTTTTAGACTTAAAAAAAAGTGATCAAAAACACAGTGAATGTTTGTTTTTAAAACCTATTACAGTAAAAAAGCATAACATTAATCCACTTCACGTAGAACACACTTGTCACATCATTCTTTTTTTTTTGTCTTTTTGAGACAGGGTCTCTATGCAGTTCAGGCTGGCCTTGAGCTCACTTTGTAGCCCAGGCTGGTCTCGAACTCACAACAATCCTCCTGCCTCAGCCTCCTGAGTGCTGGGATTATAGGTGTGAGCCACCACACCCGGCTTTGTCGCATCATTCTTAATGTCTTCTTTAGTGAAAGTGTTTATAAGGTATGATTTTTTAAAAAGGCAATGAATGCTGCTGCCAAGTACCATCCAACAAAAAGGCAGGCTTGTTAAAACATCACAGTGTGTTCTCGCCTGCCTTATTCTCTGGATCTGCACTGTGCACCTTTAGGCTCTCCCCAAAACGTCAAAACGGTCATGAAATGTGAACTCTTTGAATCAAGTCAGGCTATAGAGGCAGCCACAGCAACTAAAGACACTTATGAAAGAGGACTTCTTGAACTGCTTCAGAATGTGGCAAGGATGGAATGCGTTCAAAGCAAGAGGGAGAATTTTTTTTCTTTTTGGTACCAGGAATTGAACTCACGACTGCACACTTACAAGGCAGGCACTTATGCCACTGAGCTAAATCCCCAGCCCAAGAGGCAGTATTTTGAGGGAGATTAATGTCAATGCATCTTTCACTGTAATAAGTTTTAAAAATTTGACTATACACCATATTTTTCAATCGCACCTCATACTTTATCTTTTCTTCTAGCCTGACCTTCCTGCTAAAGAACAGCCTTCATACTTCACATGTGCTGAAAGCAGTCTTTGAAATGCGTAACTCTTTTGCTGTGTTCCTTTTAAAGCACTAACATTTTGAAAGTTTAAAATTCCACTGCCGGGTAGCTACCACTGTGAGACAGATTGACTGAAGGGGCTCTCTCACTATAAAACAGATCCAGAATAGAACTTAATTCCTAGGAAACTAATGATACCTTAAAACTGAGAAATTTCTATAAAGTTTGATCTTTTTCTCTAAAAAGAAGAAAAAGGGAATAGGGAAGAGAGAAAAAGACTCAAATTAGACTGATGAATAGTTATGACATTTATGAGGAAAGAAGTGTCCTGGGGGTAAGTGCCTCTAACAACCAGCACCACCCACTGTGGAATGCCCTGGGCTGGAAGGATGGGCTTGCTGAAATGATCCCACGTTAGAGAATTACCAGGATCTCACCAGAAGCCATTGCAAATTCTTCCTTCCTAGAAGGAAACCATGGCTAGCCTGGGCATCCCCAAGTATCCTGACAGATTAAGGCTGTGGAAATAAGAATCAGAAACCAGGATCGTGACAGTGACACATGACAGTAGAAATGACCACAGACTGAGACCTCAAGGACTTCAGATGTTAGAATGTTTGGATACAAGTTAAAAATAACTCCAAATGAAATGTTTGAATAAATTATGAAGAAGTTGCAGATGTGCACAAAAATCAGATTATAAGAAATGACTAGGTAGATTTTTTTTTAAAAAAATGACCAGACATAGAGAAAATATAATCATTAAAATAAAGAATTTAACATACAGGCTAAATAGCAAATTAGATACAGATGAGGATCTATGTGGTCATAAGATTTCCTGGTTACTTTTCCAGTGGATGAAATGAGTTTTCTTCAGGGGAATTGGATTATCAAATGTCTGTTATGAAAGTCCTTGTGTGCATGATGTTTCTTCCAGGGATGTGCTACATCAGAATTTTGAGAGTTACAAGCCTGAGGTACAGGAGCTAATCTGTGTTGCTGATCGCTTGGGATCGCTGATGCAATATGAGACCCCTGGTTTCCTGCCAAACAAGAGAATACACCGAGGTATCCTGGAAACTGTCCTGACATGGAAGTATTTCTGATGTAAGAGCAGGGTGGTTAGACCACACTGTGCTTTTAAAACAATTATTCCTAGTGCTTATGTAAGTCTCCAGAGGTCAGGGCAGGAGCAAATGGAATCACTGTTTCTGAATTCTGAGAGAAGATCATTGGGCCTGCTGGCTTTTTGCTGTCACTGTCATGTAGACCTAGAATATATGTCCAGTCCAGTAGCTGACCCAAGGAAGATGAGTCCTCACTACAGAAATGAGGAAGAATTAGAACCTCAGCTGCTTCACCAGGCCACAGAGTTGAAAAAAAAAACACTTTAGTGGGACTTTTGTGACCTAGATATGCCTCAGTCTCACCTGATTGTTTAAACTATGACTGCTGAGTGGTGCCTGAGACTTGGGGAGGCAGGTGTATATGCAAACTCCTTCCTTAGTGTTTCTCTTTTCTAGCCATGGGCCTGGCAGCACTGGAAGTCATGCAAGCTGTTCAACGCACATGGACCAACTCAAAAGTCCGCATGAATGGAAAAACTCGGCTAATGCAGTGGAGGGACATGTTTGATATTGCAGTGAAATGGAGGAGGTAACCAGTGCTTGCATGAAAATACACTAGACATCCTACTGTTGTTGCATAATGTGAATCTTTTCTCACTAACAGGTTTGAATCCCTTTTTGCTAACACTGAGCCCTATAAATTAGGTTTTTTCTCTATAAAGTTTGCTAAAAGTTGCTGTTGTGTTTATTCTTTGAGATACACCAAACTCCTCCTCCTCATCAATGAGATAACTATTGTGTGTTTCCAAGCTGCTGGGTAAAGACAGGATTTTGGAAGCAGCCTCTGCAGGAGCGTTTGTTACCTGTGGCCTTTAGAGTGAGGGGCAGTGTAGGCCCCTCTGCAATGGGGGTGTACCTGACTGATGAATAGATGTAAAGGGGGATGTCTTTGATGATACTCATTTGCTGTGCTAGTAAACGGCTTCTCACCTAGTCCACCTGGAACATCTGGAGCATGCATCATATTTTTAAATATCATAGACTAGCAGGTGCTGTACTGTCACATTGTATTTTGAATGTGCTGGATGTGGCTGGGTGTCATAAGGTTCCAACTTTCATGAGCTCTGTTTCACAGGGTTGCTGACCCAGACCAGCCTGTGCTATGGCTGGATCAGATGCCAGCACAAAGTCTCAGCAGAGGTTTCAACAACCACATCAACTTAATCAGGTATGATCCTTTCATGTGTCTTCCCTGCCTTCACAGAAGTGTTCTCAGCAGATGGGCCTAGAGATTCAGTGGCCCATGGCTTCTTTCCTGATGGCTTCGACAGAAACACTGCAATGTCCTGCCACATCCCTTCCTGCTAGTAAGCTGCAGATGGAAGTGCTGTGCACCTCCACTCTTTCTAGGATCCCATCTTGTAGATTGTAGCTGAAGGGCAAGCTACCAAAGCTTTAGCCTAGGACAGTGTTAGCAAAGCTGTGGCACACAAGCTATAGCAGGGTGTTTATCATTGAAAGCTCTAAAAATTTTGTCATCACTGGCATAGGGTGTCCATCTTTAAGGGGTTCTGAAACATCACAGAAAATAACTGAGTAGAGAATGTTGTATTTACTGTAATATACCAGCACGTCTACTGGGATAGGAGAAAGCCTTCCCCTCTTCCTGCCAGCACACAAAGCATGCAAGGAAGTAACACGGTCTGATAGCTATGGTTCCCTGGGACAAGTCAAGGACCCTGAGCTTAAGCTTGGTCGGAAAGCTTTGTGAATTAGACACCTGGTCAGAATGTTCACTTCTTCCCCTCTTCCTGTCTTAGCCACCCTCTAAATACATGATGAACACATAGTAAAGAATATCAGCTTCACAGAGATCCGTGTTACTACCATGTCCTTTTGTGAATTTAATTTTAGGTAATATTTAGAAATGTTGTACTTTCATCATGTCTGAAATGCTTCTAATTCCAGAAACTTGAATCAGGAACGTGTTATTCCATATTAACTGTAACACTTAATTTTGGGTTTTATCAGAAAAGCCATTTTGTATGTTTTTTAGTTTCTACAAAATAAATTTTCTTTCCCCTTGCAATTTGTATCTTTCTACTTCTTATAAGTAATCTGTGATGTTCATAGCTAGATTCAGTCAACTATCTGTAACCGAGAGCCAATGTCCTTCGACGCATTGATGTGCTTTGTGGTGTGGCAAAGCAGGGAGCAAGGCATGTAAGGTCAGAAGGCACATGGCCTGGCAGAGAGCGGCTGCCATGCAGAGTGTGAAGTGATCCATGCTGACCTTACATGCACACCTGGTCCACCGCTGAGTGATGGTGGAGGTGCCAAAAGAGTGCAGAGAAAAGAGTGATGAGGCCCAGATCCACCGGCAAGTTTGCAAGATCAGCACAGTGACTTATTCCTTATGGCGGGTGCCCAGGGTGCAGTGGAGAGTGTGTCAGGAATTCCAAGTATGAGTAACTATATTCCACACGAAGGGATTTTTTCCCTGAAGATACTGGTGAACCATCCAGGGATTGGAGGCAGAGAAGTGGCATGGACAGATCTGCACATTTTGATGATCACTTTGGATGCAGATAAAAAGCAGATTTGCAGTGGGGCAGCAACCTCAGGGATGAAGGGAAAAGTTGAAAGTTGGCTGTGAGTGCCAAAGGCGTGAGGGCTGTGTGGCAGTGCACTGGTGAGGAAGGGGTAGATAGGAGGGGTGCTAGGAGCTCAGTGGTGGGTAGGTGGGAGCATGGATGGCACTGGGAAGGGTGCTCAAGTCCAGTTGAGGCATGCAGTTGTACCAGTTGGCCATACCACACCTGAAAAGAAGGTGGACGTGGAAGAGTGCTGTGTGGGGAGTGAGTTCTAATTGACAGTGGAGGCCTTCGGGTTTGGGATGCCTGTGGAGAACCAGAGAGATACCTGAAGGCAGTTGAATGCAGTAATTTTTTCAGATGTAACTGGCCATGAAGTTCTGAAAGAGAATTTAAAGAAGAGAAAGAGCATAGCAATGTAAGGGACATGATATTTCGAGTGGGCAAAGCTACGGAATATGGCTGAGATCAGGAGAGCATTAGCAGATACAGAGGAGCTTGGCTGGAATGTCACCTAGCGGTGCTTTAGAGGCAGGTGGCACCAACGTCTGAGCTTCCTTAAGGTCCGGAGGGTTTTCCTTTTCACTGCGGTACCTTCCCTCCCAGGACAGCTTGGACAGCAGGCGCAGTCTACCAGGAGTATCCCCACTCCTTGACTCATCCACCCGGTTCTCCATTTAGCCTTGCTGCCTTATTCTCATAGCAGTTCTGTTTCATTTTTAGTTAACTGAAATTTAACGTTACTTCAAACATGTTCCCTTGTGAAAAAAGATTAATTTTCTTGGTTTTGCCTTCAGGGGACAGGTGATTAACATGAGATATCTGGAATATTTTGAGAAAATACTTCATTTTATTAAAGATAGAATTCTTGTTTATCATGGGTAAGTCTTCACTTTGCTTTTTTGTAGTAATTTCATGAATTTTACATTTGTTCCATCTGTGAAATATTAAAAGTAAGCCCGTTGATAACCTAAACAAACTAGCTCCAGTGCTTGTTTATGTGTGGTTTAGAATGTGAAGCCTTTCACTGTGACTTACCAACCTCCTTTGTCTTGGCATCACAGAATCCTGAACATCATCTGGAGCATCTTTAACCTGACAGTACTGTGGCATTTCTAGTCTCTCTCTTCTAGTTTATCTGTAGGCAGTTCAGCATTTAGTGCTTAGAGATGGCTCATTTAATGTGACATGCAGGTAAAAACTAGCGTAATGCTTTCATTACAGAAGCCACATGGAAGCTCCCCCATGTAGACACCGCCTGCCTGCTGCTCACCCCTTTGCATCCTCTACATAGGCTGCTATCCCTCAATTCTCAGCTGCAGCCCACTGCCTGGTCAGATTGAACCTTGCCATTATTTAGAACTGTAGTTGCCCCCCACCATTCAGAGTGCAGTCGTCTCTTGGAATCCATGGGGGATTAGCTTCTTGTCGCCCAGCAGAAGCCAAAGTCCTCTGATGCTCAGGTCTCTTCCATAAACCAGCATTGATTAGTGATACCTTGGTTCATGATGTTTTTGTTTGTAAACTCTGCATTGGGTGATGAACATGACTGCAACCATCTTTCCTGCATGAACACAAACATGGCCGTCTTTTTCTAGAATCGTGGAACAAATTAAGTTCATGAACTGAGGTGCCACTGTATTTGCATATACCCTTTGTTCCTCCTCCCATGAGCTTTTAAGTCATCTCAGGATTCTTGGTGATACCTAACATTATGTACATGCTCTGTAAATAGTTGTTATATGGCATTGTTCGGAAATAATGACAAGGGAAAATGTATGTACAGGTTCTGTGTTTTTGACTCTGGGTAGGTTGAATCTGGGATGTAGACTCAGAGGATGCAGAGGCTCACCGTACTGAGCTGCTCATAATTCAGGGCAGTTTATTTAATTAAAGTTAATGCCACAGTTACACATTATTAGAATTTTTGTACATTATCGGTTACCATATTTCTGCGTTAATCTCAGATGGCCTCTCCTACCTTCCCTCTCTCTTCAAGAGCTAATAACCCTAAAGGACTGTTAGAAGTCAGAGAAGCTCTGGAAAAGGTGCACAAAATAGAAGATCTTCTTCCAATTATGAAGGTAAATTTATCAACAGGATTTCAGGTGGATTTTAGAGGAGAAACATACTAACAGTACTTTTAAAAAATTCTGGATTGTTAAGTGAATGTTTATAACTATATTGTGTGTTTTAAAATTCTTAAAGAATTCTTAAAATTCATAAATCACCTATAGGTACTTAAACACATGCTGAGTAATAACCAAAATAGAAAATAAAACACTGTATCAGAATTAAACAGAGAAATTGACTTGTTGGGAAACCATTAATACAAGAAGCAGAAGGAATGTTTAAAATGCGTACTTGTGAGCCAGGTTTAGTGGTAACACACCTATAATCTCAGCTGCTCAGGAGGCTGAAGCAGGAGAATTCCAAGTTCAAGCCCACCTTAGGCAGATTAGCGACTCTGTCTTATAATAAAAAAGGGCTGAGAATGTAGCTCAGTGTATCCTGGCTTAAACCTTCAGTGTTAGCCACCAAAAACAGAAACAAACAAAAATCAAAACAACCCCTGCAATTGGTCTCTGGTTGCAATAAGTCCTTAGCTGCCCTTCCACTGAATAATCAGGAGACAGAATGCAAAACAGCTGTCCACAGGACCAGACTGTTAAAGACTGGGATTTTTGAGAGAAGGAAGCATGAAAAAAACCCATTTTCAACCCAGTTTTCTGCCAAGGTTGTCCACTAGAGCCCTGGCCAGGTGACTGGAGCCTAAGCAGAGCACAGGGCGGAGGAGGTCGTACAGGTGAGGCCTGCAAGATCACCTACCATCCCAGCTGCCTGCAAGGCACTTGTTTTTGCAGGAAGGAGTGACATCCCACCTCAGCATCCCATGATTTAGCCCATGATTATAGACATGTTGGTATTTTACAAACTCACACAGGAGTCTGTAAAGCAGTGTTTGCATGTTTAAAGTGGGTGATGAAATGTTCCATGCCCACCTGCTTCCTCAAAATGCACAATGTGCTTTGGTGAAAACCAAGTTAAATGGACCTCAGCCCCTGGAGGCAGCTCGTTCACCAGTATTGGGGATAAGGAGGGCCTGGTTTGCATTCTGCCCTGTTACTCTGTCTGGGGCCCCAAGACCATGTTCTTACTTTAAGCTACATCCATACCCGGTTTCCCCTGTTTGTTGTGAGGCTTGAATGAGAACCGGTATACCTAAGTATCAGCACATGTCTTCTGAAAGCTGCCTTCTCTGAGGAAGATGCCTCCTGCTTTTGTACCTACTGTGGTCCTAATGGCCTACACAGGGTTGCATGTGTTCAGGCCATACTCTCCTGATTCCAGCCTTGGAGTCGCTCACCTGGGTTACTGTCACACATGGCCCTCCCTCCAGAGTCTCAAGAGAAGCAGTATCCCCTCCTGCTGTATTGTCACTTCTCACCAGGCCCTAAAGAAGCTGGGGTTCTATTGAGTAAACTGATCTGGGAGATTTTCCTGGAATAATGACAAAACCTGTGAGCTGGCATTTCAGGGTTTCACAGATATTGTCCTGAGAATCCAATCACTGCTTGCCAAGGTGGAACCTGAGCTCAGACTGTGCTGCCAGTGGGCCATGCCACCCTGGCTAGAGGGCTTTGAACTTTCTCTGTGGGGGTCACTGGATGAGATTTTGGACTGTAGAGTTCACATTGGGTTCAAGGACAAGGAGAGGTTCCCTCAGTCAGTGTGGGACAGTGCACGTGGTATCTTGCATGTGGTGATCTCCATGACTCCACTTAGACGTGCCTAAGCCAGGTCAGTGTTGCATACTAACCTTAGGATCTTGATGAATTCAACATTAGTAACATGGGTCTTCTTTTCCCCGAAAGCAGTTTAATACCAAAACGAAGGACGGGTTCACCGTGAACACGAAAGTTCCCAGCCTCAAAGACCAAGGGAAGGAGTACGATGGGTTCACGGTCACCATCACAGGGGACAAGTATGTGTGCTTGAGGGGTGTGGACATGCAGCTCGAGGCAGTGTGGGAGGAGCACATGTTTGGCGTGGCCCTGGGTGGTGCGGCCAAAACAAAAGTGTCCAGGTCCTGTGTGCACATACAGCAGAAGCAGACACTCCAGCACCAGCCTTTTCCATCTGCCTCTGTCAGACCGGCAGCCGCAGGGGTTGAGTGTGCTGGTGGCCAGCCTTCTCTGGGAAGTTCAGAGGTCCTGGTGGGTGAGGCTTTGACTGTACAATGAAAAACAGCTGAGAAATTGGCAAACTGAAGGCCATTGTAGGATTTTTAATGTATTACAAGAGCAGTATAATCTTAATGTAGAAAATTTAGAAGATGCACATAAGAAAATTTAAAAATAAAAAAATCGGGGCTGGGGATTTAGCTCAGTGGCATAAGCGCCTGCCTTGCAAGCAGGCAGTCATGAGTTTGATCCCTGGTACCGATAAAAAGGAAAAAGACAAAAAAAAAAAAAAAGTAAATAAATAAATCATTTTCTCTAAAAGCTGAGATTATATTACATACATTGTTTTATAACCTGTTTTCTACACTTACTATTATGTTATTGTCTTCTCTAGTCCCTGTCTGTCCTTCTACATTGTCTTTATTTTGCAGCACTAGGGATTGAACGTAGAGCCTTGTGTGTGCTAAACAAGTGTCCAGTCATTTTCTTACAAGCATTTTTAACAACGTGATAGTATTCCATCCCATAAATGTAGACTTTCTCCTGCTGATTTTGTCGTTATTTAGGGTGTTTTTCTTTTTTTTACTGTATAAGTTATACTGTGACAACCATTCTTATTAGTTATGGTTTTCTTTACATCTGAAATTTAAGCTTTGTCTAGGAGCTTCTGTTTCCCATGAGTTTTGGAGGAGGTACCGTAAGCAACACCCTCACCATACTTGATGGCACAGCTGTGGAAGCTTCAAGCCCCTCCAGGCTTCTGCCAGCACATTACGATTCTCCTCTGGTCCCTCTACTTCCTGGGTTCTGCTTTTCTCAAAAGTTTTTACTCTCAAACCACAAGAAACCACCTCTTCAAAGCCATCATTCCATATAAAAACTTAAACAGCCTTCAAAGTGTAAACACTGTGTTAGAAACTTCTAGTTTTATGAGTTTTTCTTGTCTTTGAGGTTTCTATCTCTATTCCAGATATCAAAGTACTCTGTCAATAAAGATGATTCCCTATAGAAGGAGTTCCTGGGAGATAGTGTTGGTTCTCACAGAAGAGTTCGGGGAGATAAAAATTATTCCCCCCAGAGGGAATATCCCAGAGGATAAATATAAATATCCCAGAGGATTTCCAGGGAAATAGGAATGGTTCCCTGTAGAGGATTTCAGGGAGATAAGGATGTTTCCCACAGAAGACTTCCAGGGAGACCGAAGAGATTGCCCACAGAAGGATTTCTAGGGAGTGCTATTCAGTGTAAGAAACACTCCCCTATTCTTTCACTCCTAGCACATCTTGCTGTGAGGACCTGGCCTGTTTATTCTGAGCTCACCTCCACTTCCTAGTATCTGCTCTTGCTTCCCTATCCCATGTTTAGGGCTCTTGTTTAGGCCTCTTCGTCCATGAAAATCTCAGATTTTGGTTGTGCACAGTGGTGCATGCCTGTACTCTGAGCCACTTGGGAGGCTGAGGCAAGATGATTGCAAATTTAAGCCCAGCTTGGGCAACTTAGACTCTATCTCAGAATTTTTAAAGGTCTTGGGATATAACTCTGTGGTAGAGCACATGCCTCTCATGTGTGAGATCCTGGGTTCTGTTCCCAGCACTGGGGGGAGTAAGAGGGATTCCACTTTTCTCTGTGCTTCCTCATGCAGTCAGATCACTTCCTCTTCTGAACCCCTGATGAGCCTTGTCTCATCACCTGTGGCCTCCTCTTTCTCTCCCTCTCGCAGAGGCACCCACTGCTTTCTTTGTAGTACTGGGTACTAATTGTGCTTTCTGTGTCTTGTGAATGCATCAAATGTGTGACTTATAGCCACCAGGGAGGGTCAGAAATGTGGACACTGTGCAGAGACTTTCTGAGTTTTCCTTCTGTGTAGCCCGTGCTCCTGATGTTGAATCATAAGCAAGTGGTTGAGAAAATCATTACTAAGTGTGTGTGTTCCCTGCGTCTTGGTTCCTCGGCACTGTGTTTGGCTGTTCCTCAGCCTGCTGCTTGTCTCATCCGAGCACCTTCGGCCAGGCTACCAGGGGCCACCTCCTGAGTGCAGCACACAGGTGCACTGCTGAGAAGCGTGCCTGGCCCGAGTGCAGCCTCGTGTGCGGTGCACTCAGGGCCACGTGGGCTTAGTGCTGCTTGGTTTTACCTTTTTCTTAACCTTGCATTTCAGGCCGTTTGGACAGCACGATGCCTGCCTTTGACACTTGGGTTTGTATTTTCAGAGTTGGCAATATCCTGTTTTCTGTGGAAACTCAAACCACAGAAGAAAGGACACAATTATATCATGCTGAAATAGATGCACTTTATAAAGATCTGACAGCAAAAGGAAAAGTACTGATTCTCTCATCAGAATTTGGGGTAGGTTTCTCTCTGTCTCCATTTTTGTTCCTGGGTTTCTTTTGTGTTTTAAACCCTCCGCCTGAGCGCTCACTGAGATTGTACACTTTATGGTTGCAGTCAGACTGAACTGACCCACAAGTCTTTCTTTTGTTAGTCCTCATATAGCCAAGAAATTCCCTGTGTTTAGCAATACAGTAAAGGATGTGATAAATTTACAGCTCATTTTGTCAGTACTGTGCCATGTTACAGTAGTTGGGCTTTGAGAAGACTTAAATATTGGTTCATGGTGAAGATGTCTGTTTCTCCCTTTCTTCTATCTTCCTTCAGTGTGCTTACGAGAACTTTGGAGTAAACTAGCTCATGTTCTCTGATTTGCTGATGGAAGTGAGCACCACAGAAGTTGGCTGGCTGGGCAGATAGCAGCCACCGGTGTAACCGGTGTGACCTCTTCCCTGGGTAGCCTTCCCTGTCACATCATTTCTGACATTTAATCAGCCCTTGTGTGGCTCAGCTCTAGTCTGAGATAATCATTGAGCAGCGTATTTATCACCTAAATCTCAATGGAAAGGACCAGAGACAGCTAATCAGATTCTTTTGAGCAGGGACACATGTTGGAGAAAGCCTATGAGGTGCTGATAAGTACTTTTAAACTTTCTAATGTAGGATATATTTTGACATTCCAAGTAAAGTTAGCAGAACTGAGACTTCTGTGTTTGTTTAAAGACAACAGTTTAGGAAAGGTAGGAAAACATTGCTGTGGGCTAAGCTGTCTATGTGCTTCTTGCTAGAAATATGCAGTGAGCAACGTGGTTAGGGTCTGAGAGGAGAGGAAGGAACAGCTCTTTCCTGCTGTAATGGTGTTGTGTGTCTTGTCACCTCCAAATACCCGCTTGTGACCTGGAGTTCATGAATTTATGTGTTCTTTTTTTTCTAGGAAGCTGATGCTGTCTGCAATTTAATCTTGTCCTTGGTTTATTACTTCTATAATTTAATGCCCCTCTCTCGAGGATCTAGGTAAGATACCCTGGGATTAAGTTGTTCTGGGTTTTTTGTTTGTTTGTTTTTATTTTTGTTTTTTGTGACAGGGTCTCACTGTCAGCTTCAAAGTGGCCTTGAATTCACAGCAGTCCTCCTACTTTGGCCTCCCAAGTGCTGGAATTGGGTCACCATGCCCAGCTGCAAGATTTTTCTAGATTTAAAAGTGTGTACTTGGGCTGGAGATTTAGCTCAGCGGCATAAGCTCCTGCTTGGCAAGTGCAAGGTTGTGAGTTCGATTGCCGGTACCAAAAAAATAAATAAATAAATAAAAATGTGTTCTCTGTGGCTTATCCTTCCATTTATGATTTTAAGTACAAAGGTACCTTCTATTCTCAATTCAATACAAAATGATTTCCTGTGTACAATATCATCAAAAGAATTATAAATGGTAGCTCTAAAATAACTCGTAGAAGTCTAGTAGGAAAAGGAGCCTTCTTTCACTGAAAGCTTATTGAAGACTCACTGTGTGCCATGTAAGGCAATCTTTACACTTCAGTGTTGACATCTGCCAGTCCTTTATGCTACCTACTCCTTCTTCCCAGCACTAGCTGACTTAACTTTAACCTTAATGTGTTCATTCTTATGGGTCACCTATCCTTCCTTAATTTTTTTTAATACTTTGCTACTTGTAAGAGTGGACCAAAAGGTTGTGAGATACAGTTAAACAAGGGATTCATCTGGAGTTCCCTTTTTGTTCCCTTTTCTGAGTAGTACATCAGATCAGTAAATCATGGCATATTGTACATATTTGAACTTCAGATGTTTTGAGTATAAATATCTGTGTACTTTTCATGTTTTAGAATATAGAACTCCTTGCCAGGCATGGTGGCACAGGCCTGTAATCCCAGCACTCAAGAGGTTGAGGCATGAGAATCGTTGCAAGTTCAAGACCAGCCTGGCCTACAAAATGAGCTCAAGGCCAGCCTGAACTACACAGTGAGACTCTGTCTCAAAAAGACAAAAAATTTTTAAAAAAAATAAAACTCCTCTAAATGTGACAGTCAATTTTGTTACAGTATTTTAAAGATATTGAAACACAGTAGGACATGTCACATTTTTAGCAGGATGCGTGTTAGCTGCGTCCACTGAGTAAGAAATATTTGCAAGGCCTAAGTCCCCAGCACCATTGCCACTGTTTGGCCCTCGGCAGAGCCTCTGGCATTGGTCCTCTGTGCTCTGGTACCGGTTTAACAGGAAAGAGAGCCTTTATCCTCCACACCCCTCATTCTTTCTTCTGTCCTGAAGCTGGTTGCTTCTGTTTCTGACACTGGACTCTGCCCAGACTCTAGTCATCCCTTGTCCCTGTGTCCAGGCTTTGCTCCTTTCCCTGTGTACCCAGGCCCTGCCCTGCCAGCTTTCCCTTGGCCTTGCCACCTCCCTCCTTAGCTGTCCTTTCCCTTGCTCTTTAGGTTCTTTAGTGGCTACCCTCCTGCCCTCTCCTCACCTTCTCTTTTGTCCTTCAATCGGCCAGTCCATGATGATGCAGCCTGTATGCTGTCAGCCTGGTGGACAGCCCAGGAATCAGCTTACTTTCTGTGGAGTCCCCCGTGCCCTTGCTTTCCAGCCCTGTTACCCACACCACAGCACCGTGAGCCAGTCACCATGGCTTCAGTACCAGGTGCTGCAGACTGCTGCCACCTCCCCACCTTCTTCCCCAGCCCCCTCCCCCACCTACATTTGTGCAAGAGTGACTGGCACAGCAGTCACTGTGCCACCTTGGGAGTTCTGGCCATTCACACCCACTCCCAAAATTCACTGTAAAATTATATAAACTCCCCACCACTCATCTCAGTACACTGTGTGTTCTGCTGTTCTTCTCTGGGGCTTAAAAAGTGATTAATACAACTAGGTGTGGGGGTACAGCTCACCTGTGGTTCCAGGACTGTGGGTGGATGAGGCAGGAAGATCACAAGTTTGAGCCCAGCCCAGACAACCTAGGCACTTGGTGAGACCCCGTATCTAAAAATATGTAAAGGGCTGGAAATGGAGGTCAACACAAGACCCTCTAAAATGTATTTACAGAGTTTATTACACATGTGCATTTTAAAGCTGAGCTTCATTAAAGTTGCTAAAAATGTAAACTTAGTATTTCATAAAAATAGGAAAAACAACTAGGAAGAAAATCAATTTAAAAAACCTTTTTTCTAAGAGAATTCCTGGTGATTTTACCCTTAAATTAATAAATCAGTTTGTATTTTAAGTAAAAAGTATTTTTATATAAAGCTAAACAGTATTTTAGTGTAAATTACCTTTTTAATGATGGAAAATTCTTGGTGAGCATTGGCATAGTGTCGTCTGGGCCAGGCCTTGCTGAAGGCTGTTCTTTGTTTAAACAGTGTCATCGCCTACTCTGTCATCGTGGGGGCGCTGATGGCCAGCGGGAAAGAAGTAGCAGGGAAGATCCCCAAGGGCAAGGTACGGGGTGCTGCTGAGGAACCGGCTTGTGTGTGAGGTCTTCATCTGTGGACTCTTTTTTTTCTATAGTATGTGAGTGAAACAGGTCACACACTGAACCTTTCTCCTCTGCATTAATCACATTTCTAAATTTCTTTCTTTTCCAGTTAGTTGATTTTGAAGCTATGACAGCCCCTGGTTCAGAGACCTTCAGCAAAATAGCTAAGAGCTGGATGAACTTGAAAAGGTAACACTTTGAGATTGAGGCACAGCATCGCTGCTGGAGAGGGGACGGGCTTCCTCCCATAGACACGTGAAGGCCACCGTTCTGCTTGCTTTCATCAGCTAATGTCTAATTACCATGGCTTGATCTTTCTTCAGAGTTACAGTATTTTCCTGCTCTATAGGGTGAATTATGGATAAAAATAAGGAAAATCATTTGTGAAAGGGAAGTGACTGATGTCTTACATCTATGATCAGGTATTCATTTCTCTTGCCCCGTTTACCCTGTGTGCCAGGCTGTTCGGCTATGGATTCTGGAGTGAAACTGAACTTGTAGGCACAGCCTGTTTTAGACACTCTGGGTGGTGTCTAAAAGAGAGTAAGGAGAGTTGTGAACTAACTAAATCCTGTTCCCCAGGGTTTTTCTCCTCTCCAGTTTCAAGAGGTGGTACTTTCATCACATCGTGAGGAGGGGCTGTGTGAGAACCAGTGAGCACCAGCATGTGCCAGAGACCTCAGCAGCCCCATCCTTTGCTCACTCCTGGCATCCCGAAGCACCAGGAGCAGTGTGTGAGGTTAAACTCACAGGTGCTTCAAGAGTGAACAAGATAAGCAAATACTGCTGCTCGATCTGACTTACTCTTATCCTTTCTCCTTTGTTTATATCTTAACCACTCATATATTTCCCTCTCACATCTATTTGACAGCAGCCACTGTCATAATTGTTGGTAATGTGTGCTCCATTACAATGGGGAAGTTGTATCTGCTCTCCTGTTGCTTAACTGGTCCCTGTACATTGTTTTTTTAGACATTTTGATAAAATGATTACAGTATCATACATAATTTGTATGGTTTTTATATAATTTTACAGTGAATTTTTACCAGGTAAGGAAAGTTGTAAACACATTGTATAGGGGCTGGGGATTTAGCTCAGCAGCATAAGTACCTGCCTTGCAAGCAGGCAGTCGTGAGTTCGATCCTTGGTACCGATATTAAAAAAAAAAAAAAAAAAACCTACGTTGTATAGCTATTGTCTTTAGGCATCACAGACCTGCATTGTCTCACTAGGTGTTCACCATAGCTCTGAGCTAAGAATTCCATCCTTGCAGTTGCAGATAAGAGAAATGGGGCTTACAGAAAGGACAGGGCCAAGAAGGGGCAAAGCTGGGCCTGAAGCCAGCACCCTTGGAATCTAAGCCCAGTTGCACTGCAGCAGGATGCGTGGCACATAGTCCTGTGTCTGTCAATTTCATTTTCTTTCCAAGGCTTTAGATGAGCTTCCAAGCAGCTCCGGGCACCAGATCGCTGCGTGTCTGTTTGCGCCTCCTGCCTGCTGTCCTAGTGGTGCCCTTCCTCATACCTTCGTGGGCTGGTGGGAATGGATGTGCTTTGGCCTTTTGTGTAAACTGTGTTAATGGTCATGCCTTCCCTTTGTTTTTCTTTTTTAGCATCTCCCCTTCGTACAAGACCCTGCCGGCAGTGTCAGAGACATTTCCCACGTTAAGGTCGATGATTGAGGTGCTAAACACAGACTCCTCTCCACGGTGTCTCAAGAAACTCTAGTTATGCCATGGAGTTTGTACATGGGAAGGGCCACGCCTCTTGCTTCTTAAGTTATTTTTTAAAACATGGAATTAAGAAATTAGATCTTTTATTACTTTTGATATCAATTTTTGATAGGAATTGAATACTTGAAATCATTTTCTTTACTTTCTGAACCATAACAGAAATCATGAGAACAGAGTTCGGGGGGAAAAGCTACTTGACAAGGAAGGGACATGTTTGTATTACGTGGCAGCCTGATGGTGTCCACTTGTGAAGTGACATGACTTCTTCCTTATGGCAAAAAGTGTTTACTTCAGAAACCAAAAATAACTAATTAAGGTGAACAAAGCCAAGAACAAACGAGGAATGTCTTCATTCCATGGGAGATTTGGCTCCTCAGACTCCCCTTGTGTGAGCCACATGCTGGGGCTTTGCTCCTTGCTTGTGCGTTCTCCGTCCTCCCAGCACTGGGAGTGGTCCATGGGCCGACTGCACGCACCGCAGCTGATGGCCGGGATCACTCGCTGTCACTGAGGATGCACACAGTATTTGCCAATGTCCCAACATTGAATTGCTGAACCATGTCTTGTTTTTGCTGGAAAAAATAAATCATGGTGATTTCTGTAAGTCACCAGTGTTTGGCACTGGCTCACTTGTGAGTTTGTTGATTAACAGCTTGTTCTCAGGTACGAGGATCTTCAGAAGGTGGCTGTTTCTTTTTAGACAGATGAGTGGCAGCAAGTAAAGGGTTCAGTAAACTATTGCCATCTCCATATCATTTTAGTTTTTGATGTTTTGGGTTGGGTTGGGTTTGGTTTGGTTGGTTGGTTTGAACCAGGTATTTTTTATTAACTAACCAAATCATAAAAATACCATGGCAGATACCTTGGTTCATCCTTCTAATAAGTCTGTTGATCTGGTCTTCCTTTTCCAACATCTTCACCTTTCACAAAATGCATGCTCTTTTTCTTCATTTTGCCACATGGAGAAGATAATTTGAAAGGCCACAGGAAGTTACTTGCCTCTGAAGCATTTCGACAGTATAACTCTCATGACTCAGATACTCAGTGCAGATGATGCCGTATTTGTCTGTTTTCACCTGAATCAATTCAAACTAACACAGCTCACAGACACTCGGCTGTCTTAAGTACTCAGACACAGAGCAGCCCCGTTGGCTACATGAGTCACCTGAGCATGAGAAGGACAGGCAGGCAGGCAGCTGTGCTCAGTGGGTGCTGATGAGAGAAAGGAGCGGTGGGGCTGTGCCAGCCCTGTTTCCACTCGTGTAAGTAATATGATTTTAGCGTTGTTAGGAATCCTGGGAAGTGCTGTGCACCTGTACAATTTCCTGGAGTTCTGGAAAATGGCCCGTCGCCCACCCTAGATGCCTGATACCTGGGCCAGGGAAGATGGGGCCCAACAACACATTGTAAGCAACTTTGTTTGGTGAACAAGACAAAACTATCCGAAGATGGAATTTGCCCTCTATGCAGTGACTTCCTTTGTCATTATTCCATAAATGACCCAACATAACAACATGGCATTTATATTGTACCAGGTATTATATGTCATCTAGAGATATTTAAGGAAGACAGCAGAGGGCTGGGAGTATAGCTTAGTGGTAAAGCACTTGGTTAGCATAGCAGGGCCCAGGGTTTAATTCCTTTGGAAACCCCTGAGGTGATCAGTCCTCTGCCTGCTACAGTAGTTGTCTGAGGACCCCTCTGTTCCTGAAGGACTAGAGATGGGGGTCTGAGGAGTTGTCCAGGAATGTCCTGGGGGCCCACCTTTGCCCTTTGACCCTGTACCATCCTTCACACTCACTTCCCAGAGCCCTCCTGAAGAGCACCCGCTGCCACACTTTCCCCTCCCATCTAGTCCTGTTCCTCCTGAACAGTCTTTATTTCCTGATACCTGGTTGTATTCAGACCCACCATCCCACATTGCCCCAGATGACTCCTCCTGTGTAGCCTGACTGCTGCACCCCCTTTGCTGCTTTCCCTCATGAGTGCCCACTGGCCACAGCTTCTGCCTCCCTGTCCTCATGCTCAGATGACTCAAGCTGCCCAGGGGGCTGCTTGGTGTCAGTACTTAAGATAGTTGAGTGCCTAGAAGCTGAGTTTTAATTGATTTAGATATAAACAGCTATGTGCAGCTACTGGGCCACACCACCTGAAGAAGTCTTAATTAGACTATAGGAAAGAGTATTCCACAGAATAGCCCCCAATGAGGTTCTGTGGTGCTAAGTTAACATAACCTTCCATATGTTTGGTGTATAGATTTGCTTGAGTGTCCCTGCTCTTCATGATACAGTGACATTAAATTTGTAGAATTTTTCCCCACACCAACCACTTCTCCAACTTTGAAGACATTAGTGGGGTCTGGGGACAGCGGGCAGGGAGCTCAGCCTGTGGGAACAAAGAGACCCTAAAAGGTACAACACCGGACCAGAGGACATGAGACTCCTGGAGGCTGATTTTGGCATGTTAGTGTGTCCCACCTGGTTTTGTTAGCAGCAGCATCCAGGATTAAGATGTTCTTAACAATGGGAAGATCATGTCAGGGATGCAGGAATCATGTGAAGTCAGGTCCCTGAAGTCACAGGTGACTCAGGTGTGTGTAAGGGGCTCGGGGCTAGGGTGAAAAGGGCTTGCCTCATGAACACCAGCATGTCCCTGGCAGAGGGGCCTACAGATCGTATAGTCAAGGCAGGGAAAGGATAGAGCTCACTACAGCATATTCCCTACAGACACCTCCCCCATGCCATCCTCCACTGCCTGCTGGTGGTTTGATGTCTCTGACCTAACTATTGCAAATTGATAAAACTATGTTTTTTCCAGGTTTAAAATTTTGATGTGTTGTATAGTGAAGCAATTAAAAATGAAATTTTCTCTGATTAGCTAATTTGGTAAAACTCAGAAAAATCAGAGCCAATTTAAAATAGTCCCTTCTTTTATACATTTGATATAATCACAAAGGCATTTACATTAGCATGACTTTCCTCAAAGGGCCTCTGCATTTTGACTCCCATGTGGCAAATGGTTAGGGACCAGCTACAGAGAAACTGGCTGGTAAATAACAGTTCCTATTTCTTGCTTTCATCAAGCCAGGCCATATTTGGCATAAAAGCTAAAATAATTTAACAACAAAATGTTGCTTTTTTTTCTCCCTCCATGGAGTGGAGAAGGAGAACTAAGAAGCACACTCAGGGCAGCCTGTAAGACCTTTTTCTGCTCCTGGGTGCCCCAACATACTCTTCCCAGCTTCGCAAACTTGCAATCACCGAGTGACCTCACCCTGGATTCTGAGATCCGCTGGCCCATGCATCTCACACATGTGTTCACGGCACACATTTATTTCTCTGCTCTGTGCTTGTGGCTGACAGCAGTGACTTTGTCATTAGGAAACAGTTCCTCTGCAACCACACCTACAGTGAAGTAGCCCACCACTTCATCTTAATTCCAAGTGGAAATAACCCACTTTTTGTCCTGGGGGAAAACACATTGATAATTGTGGCAAAAAGATCACCCATTGTCACACAGTAGACAGGGACATCTGGTCTGTGTCACAGATGTGGAGACTCCGATCAGCAGGGAAGACGGATGTGAGCTCTTACCAAATAAGCCTCCCTGTATCTAGCTTACTCACTCAGACTTCTGACCACCAACGACATCTACTAAAACCTAAGACCCCTGCTAAGTACATAATTGAGTTTCTTGCTTAATCCTCTTGGAAGATGCGTAGAATGGTAACTAGAACAATTTCCAAGGAAAAGTGTAGGAGATGCAAGAAACATCCCTTAAACTAAGCAGCCAGCAGACAATGGAGCTGGGGGGTTTGCACCAGGCTGTCCTAGTCAAGAGCCTGGTCTGTACCCACAGGTGCCTCCAGAGAAAACCAGGAGTGTTGGTAGAGTGGGACCTCCTGAAGTCCTCTGAAGGGCTGATGGGACAGCTGAGCCCAGGGGAACTGCTTAGTCCTGGATCCAGGTTGGTCCCTCACTGACATGCTTTAGGTCTGAGCTTTTACTTTGCTAAGTCACACCATCTTGATGCCTGGGGAAAAAAGATTGCCCAGTTCACTAACACTGGGCAATAGAGAGATTTGCTGTTTGGAAGATGGGTGCTTTATGCCAGGCGTCACTTGGCAGATCTGAGTGATCTAGAGCTGCGTAGAGACTCCTGCTTTCAAAACTATGAGTGAGGCAGCCTGGTCCAGCCAGACTTGATTCACTTCTGCCTTGGCGTAGAGTCCAGTGCCTGCTAGCAAACAGACAGCTGGCTGAAATCATCAGAAGCAACAACTGACAGTGGAGAAAATTATGGAAGCTGTGAACCTGAGAATGCAGGGATGGCATCAGCATGGCACAGTGTGGCTATGGAACCTTGTTTGGGGCCTATTTGGCCCTTTCCTTCCTGGAAAGCGTATCTACCAGAGAGGAAGGATTTGACATTTAGTGGCTAAAATACATTTCAGTAATGGCAATACACTCCTAGGTCTACCACCTTTTTCAATGAGTGTACATCAGTGCAGTTGATAGGACAGTTCTGTTTCACATTAGTCGGGAAAATTATCCAAATGAAAATGCCATATGTCCTCTGGCCCTGCGCCCACACATGCCAGCTCTGTCTACAGCTTATACCCACTCTGTAAATGTAAGTTAAGCCTGGTGGATGCTTGAAAATGAATATGCCTGTGTCTTTCCCTTTGGCAGACACAGTGTCAGTGACTCTTCCCCATCAAGAGCCACATCCAGAAAAGATTCTCTGCATGAGAACTTGAGAAACTTGCAGTGGGATGCAACCATTCTTATACTGTAGAAAGACTTTTCAGATGGGTCAAAATTAGAAATGTCTTCCCCTTTGAATGGCAAGAGAGTGAAATCCATTCACGTTAGCATAGGCAGAGAGGAGAATTTCCTACAAGGACACAGACCTGTCCCTGTTTTCCTGTAGCCTAGCAAGTGTCCCCTGCCCTTTAAATTGCATTTTCAATGGTTCTTCATCTCTTTCAGTCCTTGTTACACAGAAACATGTTCCCTGCCTTTCAGTCACAGTTTGGGCTTCTCAGGGAAGTTCTCAGCTTAGACTGGCCAAGGAGACAAATCACATGGCAAGGTGGTTGGGAGTAGTACTAGGAAAAGGAGATTTTCCTAAGAATCTTTCTTCCAGCATATCAAAGACCTCTTATTTATTTTTTAATTAAATTTTAAGGAGAAAAAAGCGTACAAGTAATACAAAATTTAAAAAATAAACAGTAAGAAATCACTAGTCAATATTCTCTCCTTAGAAATAGTTGTTCAAGTTACAAAACCAAAGCACACAAAGTGAACTTTCAAACAGTGAGACTGCAAACAGTTTTGCTCAATGATCCAACAAAACTCAGTAATATGGTTATCTATCTTATACACTTAAACATATATGCAGTTATAACCTTTAGAGCACTTCCTTTTCTTTTGTACAATGACAGTTACACATTTTGGGTTTTATTACTCCCACAGTTCTTATTACTTTTTTTGAAGAGAGTAAAACCAAATGCGACATATCAGAACAGAATCAGTCAAATCAAAAGGATGGGCATAATAGATGATGTAAAAACAAAATGCAAGGTGATCAACAGTGGTTACCATACTGCCTCTTGC